GGCTTGAGCCACCGCGCCCGGCCTATTTATGTTCTAATTTTAGTTATTTCTTTTCCTCTGCTAGCTTTGGAGTTAGTTCGTTCTAGTCGTTCTAGTTCCTTTAGGTGCAAGGTTTGGTTAATTTGAGATCTATCTTCTTGCTGTAGGTATTTATGGTTCTAAACTTTCTTCTTAACTCTGCTTTTGACACATCCCAGAAGTTTTGGTATGTTGTGTCTCTATTTTCATTGGTTTCAAATAATTCTTTGATTTCTGCCTTAATTTTTTATTTATCCAAAATCATCCAGGAGCAAGTTGTTCAGTTTCCATGCATTTGTGTTGTTTTGAGAGTTTCTCTTGGTGTTCGTTTCTGTTTTATTTCATCGTGGTCTGGGAAGATGATTGGTGTGATTGAGATTTTTTAAAATTGAGACTTGCTTTGTGACTGAGTATGTAGCTGATCTGAGAGTATGTTCCATGTGCAGTTAGAAGAATAATATGTATAATGTATAATGTATATTATATATGCAATATGCATGTGTTGGTGTGTGTATATATATATTTATACATACATATTGTATTAGTCCACCCTCACGCTGCTATAAGAACTGCCTGAGACTGGGTAATATACATAAAACAAAGGTTTAATTGACTCACAGTTCTGTATGGCTGGGGAGGCCTCAGGAAACTTACAGTCATGGCAGACGGGGAAGCAGGCAGCTCTTACATGGTGGCAGGTGAGAGAGAATGTGTGATGTCAAACATTTATAAAACCATCAGATCTTGTGAGAACTCACTCACTATCAAGAGACCAGCATGGGGGAAACCACCCTCATGATTCATTCACCTCCCACCAGGTCTCTCCCTTAAAACATGGGGATTGGCTGGGCGCGGTGGCTCATGCCTGTAATCCCAGCACTTTGGGAGGCCGAGACAGGTGGATCACCTGAGATCAGGAGTTTGAGACCAGTCTGCCCAACATGGCGAAACCCTGTCTGTACTAAAAATACAAAAAATTAGCTGGGTGTGGTAGTGGGCGCCTGTAATCCCAGCTACTCGGGAGGCTGAGGCAGGAGAATCACTTGAACCCAGGAGGCAGAGGTTGCAGTGAGCCAAGATCACACAACTGCACTCCAGCTTGGGCGACAAGAGCAAAACTCCATCTCAAAAAAAAAAAAAAAAAAGGAAAAAAAAGTGGGGATTACAATTCGAGATGAGGTTTGGGTGGGAACACAGAACCAAACTCTCTCTCTCTCTCTCAATCTCACACACACACACACACACACACACACACTAAAAGTGTACATTTAATTATCTTAATGTATGAGCTATTTTCTCCTGGGTCATACCATGTATCTGAAACATGCTGAGATTTGGCTTGTGTTGTGGGTCTACAGGCAACAAGGGTTAATTACAGTGAGTCTTGAGGAGAAATAACATCCCTTTCAAAGCATCTTCCCCAGATGATGATATCATAGGGTTTTCCCACAAAGGAAGGTTAGTTATGGTAGAAGTGGTCTACTTCCACTGTAAAAGGTGATCAGAGTGACTTGAAAATGTAAGATTCTCAATTCCATTTGAATCCTGCCAGATTTCCCGATTCCAACTTTCAGGGTCTCATTATTTCTCAATCAGTTCCCTAATGTTCCCATGAAAAACTTGTTAAGGCTGTGAATTCAAGTGCTACTGTAATCTAGCCACTTTCACAGTTAAATTTTGTGTTCGATTTTCAGCAATAGTGGCCCTGTGGTTATGAGACATGAGAATGTATTAAAACTGCCATGGAAATGTTCGGACTCTCAGACTGTGATCTTGAGCTTGTCCTTTTCTGTAAGTGCGGTAATGCATTCAGGAAAATCAGTTCCAAACTACAATAACTGTTGTCATCACTACTGCTGTTATAATCAAATTCAGTAGCCACTAGGGCTCCCAAGGCATTTGCTTCAGTTAGCACATCATCATGATCAGCCACAGGTAATAATCTAACTTACTTGTTGAAATGTCACTGTATGTCATGGATAACTAGCATCTGATTTCCCATTGGCAATGAACTCAGCACTTTCATCTAACCCAAATCCACGACTAATCCAATTCTCAAATCCCATCTTTGAAAATCTGTCTTCTCAGACCACTCCAAATACCAATACTATAGCAGGGTCAATCAGAAAACAGAAAACACACTAGTAATTTAAATGAGAAAAATTTAATATTAGTAATTGCAAGTTGTAATAGGTGATTAATTATCAAAAGAGAAGTAGCAAATGCAAAAAGCAGCTATCTAGCTCTAGGGCTGAGGGAGGGCAAATTAAGAAGAAACTGAGAACTTAGAAAAGCTCTCCCTACCATCCACTTCAACACTGATTTGTACCTTTTTGGGAAGGAATGGCTGCCATTGGCCTGCACAGTCTGCCAGTGGTAAAGAAATTTTCCAGAGAGCATTGGCCAGAGTGTTGTCTCCTATGAGTGGCCTGCTGGGTAGAGGAGAAACTAGTTAGAGGGCATTGGCAGGCTGGAGCTGGTCTGCAAGGGCTACTGAGATGAGCATGACCAGATCTCTCGCATACCACTGCATGGGCTGCCATGCTTAAAAATAGCACATAAATTTGGGGAAAAGTCCCTTTAGCTTGCAGTGGCCTTGCAGCATCCCCTCAGGGCTCACTATTGACAAAGCCTCTGTTGACATTGAGTCATCTGGCACAGGAGAAATGTTTACAGGACCTACCTCTAGTATCTCAAAGCAGGGGAAAGAAGGGTGGATTAATAGCTGTGAGGCAATAAACTGATACCTGGCACAAGAGTGAATAAACTTGGTGGTTTAATGGTTGGAAAGAAGGCTGCTGCAGCTGGAGGTGAGTGAATAGGGCAGGGACAATGTAGGAAATGAGGTCTGAGAGGCAGAGAGGTAGTTGGAGTCAGATCATGTAGGGTTTTATGGATCATGGCAAAGACTTTGGATTTTAATCCAGGTGTGATGGATTAAATCCAGGTGTGATGGAAAGTATTGAACAGTTTAGAGCAGGGGTGTGGTGTGGTCTAATATGTTTAAAAATATCAGTCTAATTATTATGTGTATACTTGACTTTAGGGGACAAGAGTGAAGAAAAGGGAGGCTCCGGTTTACCAAGTGCCAGGTAACTTATGCTGCATCTTCTGCAGGCTTCACTTTCTCTCCTGAGTTCTAACCAGCATGATCAAATGTCTTAGTTGGCCTGCAACAACTTAGGGTTCATGGGCTCTTTATTCTCAAACGTTATAGTTTGAGACCCTATTTTATATGGTCACCCTGGTTCTAACATATCTCAAATCCTCTCCTTTCTTGAAAACAAGCCTGAAATTTCAAGATCATTAGGTAGAATTTCTAGGAGTGACTGCTTATATCATTGCTATCTTTGGAGAATGACTGAAGTATGGGTAATTCCTCAGGACCTCCCCGCCAACCGCCCCACCTACTGATAGGAGCCACTGCTACCAGACTGATTCCTGTTAAAATGCAAAGGCCACTGAGGGAGAAAACACACAGTTTGTATCAACATCTAAGAATCCTTTCTTCTTTCCTATTTCTTCATACTGGCAGGCCCTAGCCCATTGGTGTAATTCCTGCTGTCAAGTGTTGGCATTCCTCTAACTTAAGATGACATAAATAGGACTAAGGGACAGTCCTACTGACAACAGCCCTATTTTGAAGACCAGGATACCCACAAAGGATTTTGCAGAAGAAGCCTTTCGAGTTTCCTAATAAGATGTCCAAAATGCAGCCATGTGCAGAAGATCAAGTCATCTGTTACTTCTCCTGGACCTTGGAACAGAAGTCAGAGCTCCTGCTTTAGCTAACTCTATTGTTTCTCCAGCTAAATCAAAATTTACAGGTAGGTGAAACAGGAGGTTTGCCCTAAGATGCCTCTAGCTGTTTTACCTTACCCATTACTCTCCCCACCTTTTGTCATATTTTCCCTCCCTCTCCATTAATTTGCTGTAAAGCTGACAGCCTTTGGACCCGTTTTCCATCAAGTCCTGTTCTCCAGTCTTTTATTTATACCCTCCAACCTTTGTTTTCCACTATAAGGGAATGGAATGATAAAAAACTATACATTTCCTCTCCCAGTGACTTTGCATTTTAGAAGGAATCAAAGTTGATACCAGTGGTCCCTTGACGTAAGGAAAAACTATGTGGGGAGCTTGTCTGACATGCATATCGATGAGCTCCAATACCTAAGAATCTGGTTTAAAAGTTCTGGGGCGGGACCTAGGAATCTGTGTTTTAATCAAGCATCTCATGTGATTTTTTTTTTTTTTTTTTTTTTTTAGATGGAATCTCGCTTTGTTGCTCAGGTTCGTATGCAGTGGTGCAATCTTGGCTCACTGCAACCTCTGCCTCCTGGGTTCAAGCGATTCTCCTGTCTCAGCCTCTCGAGTAGCTGGGACTACAGGTGCTTGGGCCTCCCAAAGTGCTGGGATTACAGGCATGAGCCACCGCGCCCGGCCTCATGTGATTTTGAGAGTTGTTTCAGGAACCACACTTTGAGAGTAATGCCTCAAGTTAAAGGCAGAGTCACTGATGCTCGAGTTGCATGCATAAGCTGTGAGAAGTGAAGGCTTTATTGAGTCCCAGGAATCATGCCATACAGATAGTTTGACACAAATGTGTAAACTGTCTTCTGATTCTAAAATTGTGACACATGATATGTCAATGGGGGCATCATTGAAACACCTGGGCTAAGCGGTCACCGTATCTTATGGGGTTATGTGAAATTTTGTTGTTATTAAAGCTGTTCAAGAGTGCCGACTCCTGCCCTGCCTCTCCTCCCTGTGAGATTCCCTAGGAAATTATAAACGTGAAATTACAGTCAACAAAACTATAACTACTATTTCATTATTAGCTGGAATAATGTTGAATACTGTGCAGCATAGAGCTCTGTAAATGCTGGATTGCAGCCCAGCAGTTTGGTTCATGGTCAGTTCAGGGTCTTCTATTTGACCACTTTCCACAGTCTGAATTCTCAAGCTGATATATCCAAATGTGCTTCTGAAGAGCAAGAGATTGCCAGACTGCTGAGTCATTTACTTGGTAAGCCATATGATAATAGTGGGAGAGAGATAAAATAAGAGCTAGAGATAGAGAGAGAGAATGCTTGGCTCTGCTTACTATTACTATATAGAGGATAAAATGGGCAGAAGTAGATCTGGTGCAGGAAAAGGTGGCTGAAGGCCAGGATAGACCTAAGCAGCTGACACCAAATTATAAAGCAGAAGTGTGGTCCTACACACACGATGGATGACTTTTACTCTGGTGAAATGCTTCCATGGTTTTTTAATTCCTGGCATCGGCTGTACCTCCACTCTTTTTACTCTCATTCAAGAAAGCATACCAAAATGAAAAAGAGAAATTTCTTTAAAAGTCTTGCATCTGTTATAGTTGATTCAGAATGTCATTTGCAAACTTTGAAGCTTTAATGATTACTGGTAACAACATTTTACAACTGATGTTATCTACCAACAGATTATGACCTAGTGTGCCAGGTCCTGGTGAATATACCTCCGACCTCTTCCTGGAGCCAAGGCAAGTAGCAATTTCAGATGAGGTCAATCCTCTGCTCCTCTCTCTACTTCTTGAACTCTTCTTCTTTTTTTTTTTTTTCCCCCATACAACTCGAGACTTCAGGGTTCAGGCTCTGGGTGATGGGGCAGAGTGGAAGGAGGTTCTAGTGGGGAAGTAGAAAAGTTGGCTTATGTCAACTTTACAAGCAGAAGTTGACTCTGTAATTCTCAGAATTCACTTGATCTTCAATGGGGAGAGGTTAGGAGGGTTCTTACAACTGTATTCAGCTAATATACATGTATTTCGGGGACAGATTATTTTTTTTAATTTTTAAATTGTGGTGAAATAGACAAAACAAAGTAGCCATTAAGTGGCATCAAATACATTCATAATGTTGTGCAACCATCACCACTATCATCCCCAGAACTCTCTTCATTTTGTAAAACTGAAATGCATATTTTGACTACATGGAGTACCTCGTATGAATGGAATCATACAGTACTTGTCTTTTTGTGACTGGCTTATTTTGACTTAGCATAATGTCCTCAAGTTTCAGCCATGTTGTAGTATACGGCAGAATTTAATTCTTATGATTATTTTGGGCCTTACATTTAGGTATTTGATCCATTTTGAATTAATTTTTATATATGGTAGTACTAAGGGGTCTGATTTCTCTCTTTTCATGTTGATATACATTTTCCCAAGAACCATTTGTTGAAGAGACTGTTCTTTTTCCCATTGAATGGTCCTGACACCCTTGTCAAAGATCAACTGACTATATACAGGGTTTATTTCTGGGCACTCGAGTCTATTCTATTGGTCTATATGTCTGTCTGTATGCCATTATCATGCTATTTTGACACTGTAGCTTGTAGTAAGTCTTGAAATCAGAAAGTGCGAGTCATCCAGCTTTGTTCTTTTTCAAGATTGTTTTGGCTATTTGATGTCTGTTGAGATTCCATATACATTTTAGGATGGGTTTTTCTACTTCAGCAAAAAGTATCATTAGGATTTTTGGTAGGTATCGCATTGAATCTTCAGATCACTTTCAGTGGCACTCACTCCTTAATATGAATTCTTCTAATCCACGTACATGGGGTATGTTGCCGTTTATGTCTTTCTTATTTCTTTCAGCAATGTTTTGTAGTTTTCATTGTATAAGTCTTTTATCTCCTTGGTTAACTTAATTCCTAAGCACTTTAATCTTTTTGATGCTACTGTAAATGGAATTATTTTCAAAATTCCCTTTTCAGATTTTTCATTATCAGTGTACAGAAATGTAACTGACTTTTGTGTGTTGGCTTTGTATGCTGTTACTTTGCTGAATTCATTGATTAGTTCTAACTTTTTTGGTGTCTGGGATCCTCAGTGTGTTCTACATAGAAGATAATATCACCTGTGAACAGAGCTAATTTTACTTCATAGTTTCTAATTCAGATGACTTTTTCCTTTTTCTTTCTAATTGCTAGGACTGGAACTTTCAGTACTATGTTGAATAAAAGTGGTGAAAGTGGGCATCCTTGCTTTGTTCCTCATCTTTGAGGGAAAATTCTTTGTCTTTCATCATTGAGTTTGGTGCTCACTGTGGGCTTTTCACATATGGCTTTTATTAGGTTGAGGTAATTTCCTACTATTGCTAGTTTGTTGAATGTCTTTATCATGAAAGGATATTAAATTTTGTCAAATACTTTTTCTGCATCAATTAAGATGATCATGTGTTTTCCCCTGTATTTTATTAATGTGGTCTATTACGTTGATCAATTTTCATATGTTGAACCATCTTTGCATTCCAGGAATAAATCCCACTTGGTTATGGCGTATAATGGCTTGCTAGTATTTTGTTGAGGATTTTTGCATCAATGTTTGTAAAAGACAATGGTCTGTACTTTTCTTTTCTGGTAGTATCTTTGTCTGGCTTCAGTATTAGGGTAATGCTGGCCTCAAAGAATGAGATAGGAAGTGTGCTCTCCTCTTCAATTTTTTTTGAAAGAGTTTGACAGGTACTGATGTTCTTTAAATGTTTGGTAGAGTTTGCCAGTGATGCCATCAGGTTCATGGTCTTTCTTTATGGGGAGATTTTTGATTATTGATTTAATCTCCTTACTAGTTATAGCACGATGTGGATTTTCTAGTTCTTTGTAATTTAGTCTGGGTGAGTCTTGTTTTTCTAGGAATTTGTTCATTTCATCTAGGTTATCCAATTTTTTGGTGTACAATTGTTCATAGAACTCTCTTACAGTCCTTTTGATTTGTATATAATTAGTAGTAATGCCTCCACTTTCATATCTGATTTTAGTAATCTGAGTCTTTTCTCCTTTTTTCCTTGTCTGTCTAGCTAAAACTTGTCAATTTTGTTGATATTCTCAAAGAACCAATTTTGGTTTCATTGGTACTTCTCTATTGTTTTCCATTCTATATTTCATTTATTACTGTTCTAATTTTTATAATTTTCCCTCCTTCTAGCTTTGGGTTTAGTTTGTTCTTATTATAATTTCTTAAGTTGTAAGGAGAGATTGTTAATTTGTTTTTTTTTTTTTTTTTTTTGAGACGGAGTCTGGCTCTGTCGCCCAGGCTGGAGTGCAGTGGCCGGATCTCAGCTCACTGCAAGCTCCGCCTCCCGGGTTCACGCCAGTCTCCTGCCTCAGCCTCCCGAGTAGCTGGGATTACAGGCGCCCGCCACCGCGCCCGGCTAGTTTTTTGTATTTTTTAGTAGAGACGGGGTTTCACCATGTTAGCCAGGATGGTCTCGATCTCCTGACCTCGTGATCCGCCCGTCTCGGCCTCCCAAAGTGCTGGGATTACAGGCTTGAGCCACCGCGCCCGGCCTGTTTTTTTTTTTTTAATGTAAGAACTTATAGCTATGAAATTTCTTGTTAGCACTGCTTTCTCTGCATTCCATAGGTTTTGGTATGTTGTGTTTTTGTTTTCATTTGTCTCTAAGTATTTTCCAATTTCCCTTGTGATATCTACTTTTTTGATTCAATGGTTAAGAGTCTGCTGTTAAATTTCCACAAATTTGTGAATTTTCCAACTTTCCTTCTATTTTGTATTTCTGATTTCATCCTGCTGTGGTTGGAGAAGATACTTTGTATGACAGCTTTTAAAATATATTGAGATTTCATTTGTGGCTTAACATATGGTCTACCCTGGAAAATGCCCCATGTGCTTTTAAGAAGAATGTGTATGCTGGTGTAATTGGATAACGTTTTCTGTATCTCTGTTAGATATAGTTGGTTTATTGTGTTAAGTCCTCTATTTCCTTATTTATCCTCTCTGGTTATTCTATCTATTATTGACACTGGAGTATTGAAATCTCCAATTGTTATTGTAGAATTGTCTATTTCTCCCTTTGATTCTGCCTGAAGTTTTTGTTCCATATATACCAATGGTCTGTTATTAGGTGTGAAACTGTTTATAATTGTTATTATTTCTTGCTGTATTGAACCTTTTATTAACATATAATGTCTCTTGTAAGCTTTTTAAAATGTAAAGTCTATTTTTTCTGATATTAGTATAGCCCTTCCTGCTCTCTTTTGGTTACTATTTGTATAGAATATCTTTCCCTGTCACTCTTAGTTTGTTTTTGTGTCTGGATGTTAAGTGAGTCTCTTGCAGATGCATATAGTTGGCTCATATTTTTCAATACATTCTGCCAAGCTCTATCTTTTGACAGTTTAATCCATTTAAATTTAAAGTAATTACTAATAACGAGGGACTTACTTCTGTTATTTTGCCATTGTTTTCTAATACCTTCTTTTGTCCCTCATTTCCTATATTACTGTCTTCTTTTGTGTTGAGTTGATTTTTTTGGTAGTAAAGCACTTAAATTCCTTTCTAATTTTCTTTTGTGTATATTCTATAGCAACTTTCTTTGTGGTTACCATGGGGATTGTATTTAAACTCTCAAAATTATAACACTTTAATTTGAATTTATACCAGTTTAGTTTCAATAACATATAAAAACTCTGTTTCTTTACTACTCTGTCCTCAGTTCTTTGAGTTGTTGCTGTCCCAAAATTACATCTTTATACACTATGTGCTCCAAAACACAAACTAATAATTTTGGAAAATGCATTAGTCTTTGAAATTATGTAGAAAATAAAATGTTGAGTTACAAACTAAAGTTACAATAATACTACCTTTTAGATTAATATTTTTTTTAAGTACTAGTCTCTTAAATCAAGTAGAAAATAAAAGTGGAGTAGAAAAGAAAAAGCAGAGTTATAATTGCCCATGTATTTACCTTCATTGAGATCTTTTATTCTTCATACAGCTTCCAATTACTGCCCAGTGTCCTTTCATTTCACCCTGCAGGAGTGAATTTCTTGCAGGGTAGGTCTAGTGGTAATGAACTCCTTCAGCTTTTGCTTATCTGGGAATGCTTTAATTTCTTCTTCACTTTTGAAAGACAATTTTGCCAGATATAGAATTCTTGTCTGATAGTTGTTTTTTTCTCTTTTAGCACTTTGAATATACTGGCCCACTGCCTTCTGGTCTCAAAAGTTTCAGGTGAGAAATTTGCTGTTAATCTTACTCAGAATACTCTTGTGTGTCATAAGTCACTTCTCTGTTGCTGCTCTTAAGAGTCTCTCTTTATGTTTCAAAAACTTAACTATAACATGTCTTAGTATGGGTCTTTTTCATCTTACTTAGAGTTTGTTAAGCTTGGATATTTATATTCATGTCTTTGGTCAAATTTGGAAAAATTCCAGTTACTATTTCTTCATATATTCTCTATTCTCCTTTCTTTCTCTCTTATTCTTCTTGGACTCCAACAATGTGTACATTGATCTTGATGGTGTCCCACAAGTCTTTTTAGGCTCTGTTTACTTTTCTCAATATTTTATTTCTGTGTTCCTCAGACTCAATAATTTTCATTGTCCTATCTTTAAGTTTACTGATTCTTTCTTCTTCCTGCTCAAATGTGACTGTAAATCACCCTAGTAAAATTTTCATTTCAGGTATTGTATTTTTGGCTTTAGAATTTTTTTGTTTCTTTTTAGGTGTTCTATTTATTGATATTACCATTTGTTCATACATCTTTTACTTGACTTAATATCTTTCTTTAGTTTTTTGAACATCTTTAAAGAGAGTTGTTTTAAATTCTTTGTCTAGTAGATCTGCCATCAGGTCTTTTCTAGGAGCAGTTCCTGTTAATTTATTTATTTTTCCTTTCAACGGGCCATACTTTCCTGTTTCTTTCTTTGCCTTATGACTTTTTGTTGAAAACTGGACATTTGAATCTAAGAATGTGATAACTCTGGAAATCAGAGTTTCCTCCTTCCTTACGGTTTGGTGGTGGTGTTTTTGTCTTTAATTTTTTAGGCGACTCTGTGCCAAGCATCAGCATGAGGTGTAAACTTCAGGTCTTCTCAGGTGTTTTCTGAGCCTGTTTCTTTCCCTGGGTATGTGCAGTCACTTTCTAATTTTCCTTGTATATGCAGTTGCTTTTGAGTGTCTTAGTCTTTAATGTCTGGCTCCCAAAGAAGGAAAGAGAGAAAAGCGAAGGGGGAGGAGGAGTGCGGGCTCTTCAAATTATCTGGAAATCACTTCAGCTGGTGGTGGAGGGGATTGCAGCGGTGGGGAGAGGTGCAACAAAAGTAGCTGCCCACCTCTGTGTTTGCACCTCTGTGACTAGCAGCAGCAATAAGTGTCCTGAACAAAGATCCCTGAAATTTGAAGAACAGGATACTTTTAGCCCACTCTGGCCTCTACACTCTGTGCAAGCTGGTATTGGACAAGTGCTCAGCTGCCTGTATTATGAGATAAATAGTACTTTCTCATAATAATAATGGGTTCTGCTGGTACTATTTCCACCCAAGGAAGTCACCCTGCTTCTCTCTTCATGCCTGTCTCTGCAGTGCCCACCCTTCCAGGAGTAGAAAATGGGCTAGGGGAGGAGAGTGGATTAGCTGCTACTGTACTAAGACCTGGAATTGACCAAAATTAACCTTGATTTACTGTCCGAGCCTCCCCCTGAAAGTTGCAAACCTTCATTAGACTCCAGAGTTTCAAAATATTAATAGTTACACAAACCAGATTCTGCCAGTGTATTTGTTGTCTATCAGGGAGGATTCTTGGTGCTCCTTACTCTGCCATCTTCCCACAATCTCTGGGACAAATTATTTTTAGTTAAGGGGTTATTCTGAAAGCTTTATCGAAGTCAGTTGAAGTTATAGTAACCAAAAAAAAGCAATCTTACATTTGTATAGTCCTCATAGTACTTTATATATGATCATGTCTCCCCGTCCTTTCTGCTCTCCTACATTCCATCCCTCTTCCCTTCTGTCCTTCTTTCAAAACCAATTTAGGAGACAGCTCTTCCTGTCTAATCCATGTGAATTAGCCATTGAATTCCTCTGATTTTGTCTCCTTTTTAACTGTTGGCCATTTTCCTGTCAACTCTTTCCTGAGAAGGAAGAAATAGGGGATGGATTAACTGCTGAATGGACTTAGGTATTATCATTGGATTCATATTTCCTGTGTTCTCTCCAGTCTTCTTCCTTTTGGAGATCCCAGACAATTGAGATAACTGAGTGAAGTTTGTTTTTGCGACCTCTAGGAAACAGGAGAAAGGAAGAAATATGGAAGAGGGAAGATACAATGAAGCCAATGTAGACATTGTTAAGAAATTTATTTGCAATTCTTATTTTTTGTGTTTTTTGTTTGTTTTTTAAATAACATCATTCCTTAGATAAAAATGCAATCTTACAGGAATATACAATAGCGTCTCACACAGAGATGACCCTGAAGCTCTCCTTGAAGGGTTGCCCCTTCTAGATTCCCTGGCCTTTCTCGAGGGTGAGAAGGCCATCAGGCGAGGCCTCTGACAATGGGATTATTTGAGGATTACAAACTGTACAATGATATTTACAACAGTAAGACTGTGAAGTCGTGGAGCCTGGAGGGGAGGATGTGGGGTGTGTAGGGGTGTGGGGAACAGTGACAATGGAGGCAGTGCCCATCTTTCTGTGCCTCTCTGATAACAGGCATGATACAGATTGGTTTGGCGGATGAAGGTGGGTTTGAGCAGGAGGACACGAGGAGAGGGGAGCTTTATCTGGAGCCTTTCACTGGAGGAAAGTTTTGCATGGTAGCTCTCGTGGATTAAAATGAAACAGCAATATGATGAGAGTAATAGACCTTTCAGTGCTTCACCAATGGGGAATCTGTCACCCTATTTCTTAATGAGCGTGTGTGTTTTGCCATGGGTTATTCTCATCCACTACCATCACAGACTTGTCCAGACGTGCTCATCTCTGTTTCCCATGGCCTCATTGCAAGGCCTCATTCCCATCAGGCTCTGGGAGAACAGCATGCATTCTGGGCAGGACAGGACATGGAAATGGGGTGGTATATAATCTGGCTGGGATTCAAGAGATGGATTTCAGGTGTGGGGATGGGCTGCAGCTGGATGCATAGGTGGCCTGAGCAGGAAAAGAGGAGGTGCGCACAGCTTTGGGATGCTGGAGACACCTCCTGAAGGAGATCTTTTTGCACAGGACTGTGTGTTTACAAATCGTCTTCCCTTGATGTGCAAGTTCTTTCCTTTCCCCCTTTTAAACATTGGTATAGTTTCTCCATGTTGGGAAGTCTTGGGGTTGGGTGCTATGTACAGGACCCAGTGACCCACTCTCTTTTGCTTCTTTTCACTCTATAGGAGAACCTTCTCTTTTCTCCTGGCCAGTGGCCAGGAGAGGTTTCCTCAAGGAGGTCCCTGAATCCTGCAGCCTCAGGTTCCTTGGCAAGGGAGTCACTGCTTGGCCTGGTGCCTGCTCACTTCTTTTTCCTAATTCCCTTGGTAATAAACTTGAGATCTCTAAGAATTCCATAACGGGAATTCTCCAGACCCAAACAGTGAATAAGAATCATTCTGTCCATTTCTACATTTCCTCACATAGAAATGACCCACTCTTAAAAAACCTACAAGCTCTTCCACCCAGAGCTTTTTGATAATGACCTTGGTTTGAGGTGCATGAGTGAATTTTAGAAATGAATGTACAATGTATGTCTGATTCACGCCAGGGGAAGTGGCACGGTGCCCTTTCTGGGATCCCTACAAAGTCAAATTCCTTAGATTCTGAGAATTGGGGTGCATGGGATGCCCTGAAAAGGTGGGGGTGTCCCTGTGTAGCAGCCAGTAACCTATCTGAAGGGAGAGGACTTGGCTCTGGTGACGTAACATTTCAAACCTCAGTGTAATTACTTCGTCTTCATCTTTTCCTCCTCATTCTTAGTAGAGATGTGGGAGAATTTTCATGAAAAATGCTAACTCTGACTCCTCTCGGTGCTCCACAGATGTGTTACCCTTCATCCACTCAGCCGCAAGATCTAGAGTGCCTGGAACGCTTCTCTAATACCCCACAAAGACCACGGATCTTTGCCACTTCAGGTACTTTGGCTCAAACCTCTTAAAGTCATCCCAGGTAAAAGTGTTGATGGTAGTATTCTCTCAATGTACATAAATAGAATGTATCTCATAATAACAGGAGGTTCTGATGGTACTACTTCCACCCGAGGGAGCCACTCTGCTGCGCCCTCCTTGTCTGTGGATACAGTGCTCACCCTTGCAGGAGCAGGACAGTCCCTTATCTAGAGCTCAGCCCCAGCCCTTGTGCCTTAAAGGTGTGTGTCCTAGGGAGGTGGTTCAAGCATCCCCCACAGTAATGTGGAGATGTGGCAGAAACCCATTCTCCTGTTACACTGGTATCTGGCTCCACAAAGAAGTGTTTCATTGCTTTGACGTAAAAATGAATTGATGAATGAAGTTAAGCCCAGAAGTGGCTTCACAAAGAGGTTGTGTAAACATCTGCCCATGGGACTCCCTTCCACGCACCGTCTTTCTCACTAGGTGTTGGGAAAGACAGAGAGCTGGGGCCGGGGAGGGCAGTGGGAAGAGGAAGCTCTGCTTAGGGACAGGGAAAGGTGCCCCATTCCTGACAGTTGTAGTACTCTTCTCTGCCTCCTATCTTCCCCCTCAACCTCCTCAAATCGTAGCCGCTGGAGAACCTGGACTCTGGTGGCTGAGGGCCTCCCTGTGAGTGAGGTGCGGGCTTCCCCGCCTGCCTTTGCACAGGAGCCTGTGTCACGTGGCACCTGGACCGCATGAGGGCAGGGACATCGGCAGAGGGGGGACAGGGCGGCAGACACCCTCACACCCCACCAGGTAGGCTGACGTGGCTGGGACAACACCCCCAGATGGAACGTATGCTCTTCTCACCTTCCCAAATCCTTGAGATGTCAGCGGCTCCACCACACGGATCACTGTGGGCGGGTGAGCTGAACACGTCCTTCCCTGAACTGGGAAGAGACCCAGAGGGAGTCAAACCAAGCCCTTGTCTTGCCTCCATTCTCCTCCCAGTCCTCCCTGTGCTGACATCTGCCCCAGAGGCAGGTCTTCGTTAAAACGTGGAATTGGCCCGGACTGCGTCAGCAAGTATTTGCCTCCCCTGGGATTTAAAGAGGTCTTCTGGGAGTCAGCAGGCCTCTTTGCTGAATTGTTTCTAAATCCTCAACAATGATATTTCAATTATTCTAGGCCTCTAGGGACGGAGAGGCCATCATCCTCCTTTGCCACCTTTCCCACGATGAGGCTAAAAACCCTGATGACCAGGGTTCCACTCTATCCCTGACCTACATTCTTGTTCTACTTCTTTGCCTTTAGGAGTGGTGGCTGTGTATCTTCAGGACTCCATAAAGTAGCCACCATCCTTTGGGTGACTTCCAAAGTCCTCATTTTCAAGGTGTCCCTATTTCTCAGGAGATGAACTTGGGCATGGAAAGGGCTGCGTTTCCTGAGGTTGCTCCCCGTGTCTTCAGCTGCACAGTCAGGAGACATGCTGGGTGGAGAAAAGCTGGGAGAAAAAAAACAGGCAGCTTCACTCCAGACAAGCACCTGGAATTTGGAACTGGGAAACAGAATGAGAGTCATTGCCTTGCTCTTTTGAGTGGATTTCCCAGAGTGAGACCTACTGGATTAAGAAGAAGGAAAGGGGTTATAATAATACCTTCTGAATCAAAGCTGGGAAAAATTCTCTAAGGTCTGGAAATGAAAGAGGCAGGGCTGGTCAGAGGACAAAGAATTAAGCTGACCAAACTTCAGACCTTAAAATGTTTCTTCAAGTCCCTTGGGCCCTTAGCCCCTGGCTGTTTTCTCCTGCCACTTGGGGGCTGTCAGGAGGGGTATGGAAGATGTGACAATTATGTTTTACAAGGTCATGGGGAAAATTCCATTTTAGGTGGAGAGTAGACATCACTCGGAAAACTGTGGATGCGGTTCATTGGTGTCACTACTTGTGCCAGTCTGTTCTGATGACAGGCATCGTACACCAGTCTTATTCTAGATCGGAAGATCAGTCTCGGACAGTCCTCCTGTCCTAGACAGGGAACGTCCGTGTGTACCTGCGGATAGAAATCTTCGGAACTTTACAAAGGATGATACCTAAACTCAATTTCTAGAGGACCTTGGTGGCACTGAAAAGGAATCAACAAAGTCCGGATGCCTTGGGTGTGGATACCCATAAAGAAACTCTGTTTCTAGACTGTGTTAACCGGGGAGTGTCAAGTACATTTCTCCACTTTTTCATGAATCAGTCCAGCAAGCTATCATAGAGGAATGGACTGTCCCTTATTTTAATTTCTAGCTTACTTATATATGTGCCAAGAGGGGCTGAAGGAACACTAGGACTGAAAGAGATTTAATGGGTCAGTTCTGGGGGAATGGTTGGGTCCAGTTTTCCCCAAAGCAGTCCCTTTTCAGCCATCACTGTTGATATACATTTGAAGGACACAGCACCAAAAGAGTGATGTTCTAGGGAGATACGTGAGCATCAGAGATGCCCCTACAAAATCTGTTCCCACCCCCACTGTGATCTCCGGATGCCTCTTCCCCTGTCCTGGCCTCCTCCTCAGCAGCCCAAACATTAGGGCAAGCCTGAAGGAAAGGCTGCTCCAGAGTGAGGAAGGGATGGAGAAAGGAGCACGCAGAGTTGACTTTCAGATGGATCAGGGTTTCACCCGTTCCTTTCTCGAGCCCCTGCTGTCCTCGCTGGGTAGAGCGGAATCCTGAAGTGAGGATGCCCCTCCCTCCAAGCAGCCTGACTTTAATTTTATCCTCCCAGTTGGTGTACACTTTCCTAAGGAAGCCAACGAGAAAAGTCTGTGTGGTGGGAGTGAAGGCAAAGCCAGCCACCTCTTCCGTGGGGGATGCGGATGCCAGCCCGGTGACTGAGGGCTGGTCAGAACGCCTCCCTACGCCTAACAGTGAAGGGCTGTTCTCGGAGAAGTACCAAATCAGATGACCAGAGCAGAGTGGACAGTGAAGCCTGGAATAAAATAGGTCCTGGTCTATCACAGCAAGAGGCGGTACGAACATACCCAGCAAACGATTTTGGAAAAATTGAGGCAAACGGAAGCGAACACAAGATATGCAAAACAGTAATGTCCAAACCTGTTTGTGGAGAGCAGAATAATGACTACACTGGTGATACCTTTGCTCATTGTGCAAATTAAAGAAAACTTGTTCCCTTCCCCCAACCACATATAGAAAAGCACTTAAGAGTTCAAAGGTAAAGCTTGTCACACTCCAAATACAAAATGATTTACTTTACATGCAGCAAAATATACAAGAAGTGAATCCGAAAACCAACTTAATTCAATTCATTATATTCGCTTGGCACAATTGCAATTCAGTTTTAAAAAAATATTTGAAAAATACTGAAACTGACCTGAATTCAAGTATAACGGTTTCTTCAACAGAAACATTATCAATGCAATAAAACATTACACGGAATATAGTGAAGCAAAATGCCTTCTTGTGTTTTTCCCTTAAATTTCTGTGTCTTTTTTTTAAAATACAGTTTTAATGCCAACACAACTCACAATTGTATTTTTAAATGAATATTATTGCATTGTTTTTGCATATCTTGTGGGACAGAAAATGCAAAGAGTTACTGATTCCCATTTCAGAAGCAGAGACAGTGCTTTGTTTTTGCTTTCAAATGGCCCCAGATTCAGATCTTCTCACAGCTAAACCAGAAAGGGGGGACTGCGTAGTCACTGGTGTGCACGGGCACATGGTGTGGGTGCATATACATAGGCAGGACATATGCACACAGACAACCCACCACACACACACGCGTCGCACACACTCGGAGACTCTCACGCATGCTCCTCTCCCAAACCCACCTGTACACCCAGCATTAAAAGGAACCCAACTCTATCACCCACATGTGCAAGACCACATCAAGTGCATTGCAATTACCTTTCCATGAGAAAACCGAACCAAACCAGAACAAAAATAGGTTGCTACCTAAGGAAATGATAACAAATTATTGGGCATACACAATGGTTGGTAAAACTCTCCTGCAGCGGCTTCTATTGAACCTCCGTGGAAAAAGGAAACCACAACCGTTTAAATAATACAAGAAAACCAAACCGGATGTACATTGGCAAAAGTGAAAACAGAAAGGTGAGGGGGCTACAGGACTTTGTAAACACTCTTCTTCCTCCCCTCCCCCTGGGAAAACAAAATAAAAAATAAAAAACCCAAAACCAAAAAGAAACTGCAACATGCTGTCAAGAAAAGTGTCAAACCACAAAACAAAAGAGCGCTCAGCGGAAGCTCAGCACCACCTGGTTGCGCGGAGCCGGCGGCCCCTTCCCGGCGGCCCCTTCCCGGCGGCGCAGCTCCTCCCTTGCGCTGCCTGCGGGCCGGCGGCTGGCCGGGAGCTCGGCGTGGCCCGTGCCGGTCGGGGGATCCCGTCGCAGGTGGGCAGGGGCGGGCCGGGGTGAGCGGCACCACGGCCGGCCCGACGCCCATCCCCAAAGCTCCGCGCCCCTGACGGCCGCCTCCTCCCTCTCCGGGCCGGGCTGGGGTCCTCCTGGAAGTCCTGCCCCGCTCCCTTCTCCAAATCCGCGGGACCCTGGCTCTAGGGAGACAGCGAGGCTCGTACAGAATATGTGCAAATGGTTTCTACAAGCAGAGTCGAAAGACACCCGTTTGCTGTAGGGTCCTTTGGGTGAGGGCGCGCGGGAAGCCGGGGTGCTCTCCCCGCAGAGGCGCGGCCGGGCCCGGGGCCTGCGGGCTGGGAGAGGGCAGGCGCCTTCCTCGCGCCCCGGGACCCTCGCCGCCTCCTCTCCCCGCCTCTGCAGATGCAGCCGGGCGCCTTCCTCCCGGAGGGCGGCTCGCGCACCCAGGCTCCGCGTCTTGTCCCAACAGAAATGAATGAAGACGCTGTTCCGGTTAACTCCAGGTCACGAGAACAGTGAGGCACTTCTGAAACGAACCCATTAGGAACATTGAAACAAATAAAAAAAGCCCGCATCTGGCAGCGCCCACTACAGGCTGCTGACGTAGACCCTGCTGTCCTGGAGCTCCTCCTCGCTCAGGCGCCCCCGCGCGCGCGCACAGCCCGCGTCCTCTTCGCCCCCGGCTCGGTCCTGCCCCGCGTCCCTGCAGTTCACAAAGGGTAAGAGGGCGCCATTGGGGCTCTGCGGGGCGCCCCCGCTGAGGATGTTGTCGGCCGCGCTCTCCATCTCCTCTATGGTCATGTCGCAGGCGTCCGCCAGCTCCTGGGTGGTGACCTCGATGAACTTGGGATCTTGAGCGAACTGCCCCAGTCCTTCAGAAATCAAGACCTGAAGGAGCGGGGTGGGAACCATGAAGAACCAAAGGAACATTATTGCTGGAGCCCAGCTCTTCTCTTGAGGGCTAGAGCCAGGGGTATCTGGTGGGTCACTCGGGGAAGTGTGCCTGTGCACGTGGCCCTGTGTGTGTTGGGAGGGGCACCCACAGGGAACAAGTAGAGATGGAGCATCTGCCAAAAGAATTAGGGATGTGCAGGCCAGAGAAGTTTTGGCTGGGGTGGTCCAACACTGTCATCAAATATATAAAGACTTGCTAATGGCCCAGCACCGTGGCTCACACCTGTCACCCAGCACTTTGGGAAGCCCAGGCAGAAGGACTGCTTGAGCCCAGGAGTTCGAGACCAGGCCCAGGCAACACGGGGAAACTTCGTCTCTACAAAAAATGTTATAACAATTAGCTGAGCGTGGTGATGCACACCTGTGATCTTAGCAAGGCCAGAGGCTGAGGTGGGAGGATCATTTGACTCCAGCAGCCCCAGGCTGCAGGGAGCTGTGACTGCACCACCTCACTCCAGCCTGGGTGACAGAGTGACAAGCTGCAGGGAGCTGTGACTGTACCACCTCACTCCAGCCTGGGTGACAGAGTGACAAGCTGCAGGGAGCTGTGACTGTACCACCTCACTCCAGCCTGGGTGACAGAGTGACAAGCTGCAGGGAGCTGTGACTGCACCACCTCACTCCAGCCTGGGTGACAGAGTGACAAGCTGCAGGGAGCTGTGACTGCACCACTACACTCCAGCCTGGGTGACACAGCAAGACCCTGTCTCAAAAACAATCAAAACAAAACCCACAGTAGGCTTGGCTCTCAGAGGGACCAGGGAGGCCGCCCTGCTGCTACCTCAGCAGATCCCAGCCTGCCTCTCTCCCTTCTGACACCCACCGGACCTTTATACTATTCTTTCAGAGAAACCGTTCTCCCTGGTGAAACTGCTGAGACAGGCCCACTGCCCATTGCCTGCCACCGCCTTTCTAGGGGTGAGGTATGTGTGCAGACACGGCGCATGACCCTGCCTTGCTTCTGCTGGGAAGGGCCAGCCAGTGACCCTCAAACTTCTCTGTCCTCCCCACCGGCTGCTTAGTGCCTGGCTATAGGAAAATCGGCTCCTGAGCCAGGGGGTGGGGGGAAGCTGAGTGCAGCCTGGCACTCACTCCTCCCAGGCATCTGTTTGTCTTGCTCCTTGCCCATGCCACTTCTTCTCTCCTTACCCTGCTTAGTTTGTCTTTGGCACTCCTGACCTTGCTGATGTGTTATGTATGTGTGTGTTTATCATCTGTCTCTCCTCACCATGATGTGAGCTCATGAGAGCAGAAGCTCTGTTTCTCAGCTGTGTCCTTGTACCTAGAACAGCGCCTGCACATGGTAGGCCCTCACGGGAGGTCTGTGAAATGAATGCAGGATGACCAAGGCCACAGGAATATCAGACTTTGAGAGGTAAACCTTGGAAGCCACCTGGTTTAACTCCCCACCTCCTGCACGACAGCCTGATGTCCAGGTGAGCACAGTCTCTGCTTGGCTATGTCTGATGATGGGGGGCTCACTACTTTTCAGGCAAGCGCCTCTCATTTGGAAGAGCTGTTGGGAAGGTCTTCCTCATGTGAGCTGAAATCTGCCTGCTGGTGGGCTGAGCCAACTGCTCTGACCTGCCACCCTTTCCCCATTCCACCCGTTTCGAGGTGTAAGAGGTGTATTGTCACCTCCTCTCCAGGGTTTCTTCCCTAACTCCCTGAACCGGTTCTTCTAGGACATGGTTTCTAGGAACCTTGCCATCCTGGTCATCCTCTTTTGGGTTTGTTCCAGTGTGTCAAAGGTCCCTCATAATGTGGTACCAGGATGGCACTAGATGCTCTGACCAGGCAGAGCACCGTGGGACTGAAAGCTCTCTTGTTCTAGACTAGTGGCTCTCAACCTGGCTGTACATTCAAATCACTGAAGAGCTTTAACAATCATCAGTTAATTTGTCCTGGGTTTCCAAAGCTCCCCAGGTGATTCTCACGGGCAGTCAGGCCTGAGCACCTCGGATCTTGCCTGTCTGTGTATAAAGGCAGCCAGGCTCACATTTGCATGTTGAGCAGCTGCAGCACAGATGCCTCTGGCCGGGATAAGTTGCTCAGTCCTTTCTGTTGCCCTCTGCAGTGGGCCTCGCCTCAAGAGAGCCCATAGCCTCTTGTGCAGTCATGGCTTTCCGCATCCCAGCCCTCGTGCAGCCCTGAGAGGGTCTGTCCGGCTCAGATACTGACTGCAATGAATTTGGCAAGAGCCAGGTGCCACCTTCTCAGCTCTGCACGCCAAGCCCCCTTGCTGCCCGTGGCCTCTCCCCCCGCCCGTCTGTGAGTCACCTACCGCTTCCACCAGGCTGCTGGCACTGCCGTGGAACTGCCTCCCCGGGGCCCCAGCCTGGCTGGGCACCATGAGGGAAACGGGCCGGGCTCTCCGGGTGGTGCTGCTGTCCCCGCCACCGGGGGTGGTCTCAGCCCAGGAGCCGCAGTGGATGGACGGGAAGCTGCTGTTGAGTTTCTCACTGGACTCGGCGCCCTCCAGCCGCAGGGTGGGGATGGGCTGTGGCGGCCAGCCTCGGCTGCCAGGTGTGGCCGGGGGGGTGGCAAAAGGCCTGGGGAATGAGGCAGGGGAATGGCTTCTCTGGAGGAGGGGGCTCAGGCCTGCCACTGCCAATGCCTGCGGACACACAAGGAGTGCGAGTTAATAGGAGTGGCCGACCCCAAGCAAGGCAGGGCCCTGTTTCTGAGCAACCACTGCTTTGAGCTCCACCTGCCTGGCATTCACATGCCATTGTTTCCCCCTCTCGGTCCCTTCTCAACCTGGCATGACTTTCAACCATCTCAAAATACATCTTAGGATCATCTGGGTCTGAAGTGATCTCCTCTTATAACTTCTGAAAGCTGGGATTGGGTGGAGTTGTGGTAACCTGCTTTTAGCCCTGGCCTGGTCACCTGTCAGCTGTGTATTCTCTTGCTCTTGGTTTTGTCCTCAATAGAATGGAGAAGCAGGGTGAGGCCCGCATGTCTGTAAAGCCAGAGAACAAATGCTCTCTATCCATCCCCGCTGTGGGGCGGGTGTGAGGTTCAAGTGCAATGAGGTCTGCGAAGAAGCACTGTGCACCTCACAGAGAGTTGGGAAAACCAGTATTTGTGGTTTTAGTTCTTACAGTTAATGGGGCCATTCATAACGCCCTGCCAGTCTCCAGCTCAGGTTGTCTTTGAACCGTTGTTAAATCTGGTGCTGTATTGTGATGAAAAGATTCACGGCCGGGCGTGGTGGCTCACGCCTGTAATCCCAGGACTTTGGGAGGTCAAGGTGGCGGATCACCTGAGGTCGGGAGTTCGAGATCAGCCTGACCAACATGGAGTAACCCTGTCTCTACTAAAAATACAAAATTAGCCAGGCATGGTGGCGTGTGCCTGTAATCCCAGCTACTTGGGAGGCTGAGGCAGGAGAATGGCTTGGACCCGGGAGGTGGAGGTTGCAGTGAGCCGAGATCGTGCCATTGCACTCCAGCCTGGGCAACAAGAGTGAAACTCTGTCTCAAAAAAAAAAAAAAAAAAAACAAACCAAACAAACAAAAAAAACTGATTCACATGGTGCGCCCTCTGTCCCTGAATGTTCTTGAGCATCCTGAGGGTCGGGACCAGGCCTGCCTGGCTGTTGCCATGACGACCTGCCCGGGCAGAGGCTCTGCAGGGTGAGCTGCTCTGACGGGATGCGCTCCCGGGAGAAAGCGACACCGTGGTGGGGAAAGCCCACCTGTAGGGTCACAGAGTACAGGAGGAGAAAGAGACGAAGAAGAGAGTTTCGTGCCTACCAGTACGACAAGAACAGATAAGTGAAATCGACTTCTAGAAATCTTTTAAAATAGCACACACAGTGTCCCCACATCCTTCCACCTCCTGCCCCGGCCCATGGTGGTCCTCAGCCTGGGGCTCCTGGGTGCCTGGGAATCTGAGAAAAGTGTAAGGCCATATTCATTATTTCAGAAAGCCCAGTGGAAGTCAACGCCACACAGGCTAAGAAAACCTGTTTATTTCTTGGAGCTGAAGTACTATCAACTCAGCCAGGCCACACTGGCCAGCTCATGCTGATTATGAGTTTTGATTGGCAGTTGAATACCTCTGGGTACAAAGCATAAGTCCACTTAAAACACAGGTCCATGCTATAAGAAAGCATATCTTTAAAAAGGTCAGAATGTTGGGAAACCCAGGTTTAGGCCTCAGTTTGGCTGGGGTTCACAGACTGGCCTCATATGACACTGAAGCTGACCTCAGTTTGCCTGGGGTTCATAGACTGGCCTTATATGACACTGAAGCTGACCTCAGTTTGGCTGGGGTTCACAGACTGGCCTCATATGACACTGAAGCTGACCTCAGTTTGGCTGGGGTTCATAGACTGGCCTTATATGACACTGAAGCTGACCTCAGTTTGCCTGGAGTTAACAGACTGGCCTCATATGACACTGAAGCTCAGAGATACTACGGTAAGTTTGGTCCTGGCATCTTGGATTTCACTGTCTCAGCTGGAGTCAGCCATGCCAAGAGACATTTCCTTATGAAATCTCCCTGGACCTGCTTTCTGTGGATGTCATTCCCTACTCATGGCCATGCTGCTGGTGGGTTCTTTAATCACTTCTCTATGTCACTGGATGGACTTTTGTGCAGCACCATTTCCAGGTATGTTCAATCTCTAGGTACAAGTGCATCTTCCTGAGTGCCCTGCAGCATAGGCCAGTGTCAGGGGAGTCAGTGGCATCTGTGGCAGCCTAAGAAGAAAGCTCAGGTGGAAACCACAGCTCTGGGTCCTCAGGATCACACAAAGAGTTCCTGTGTACCAGCACTTCCTAGGCCCCCACCCACGATGCTGCAGACCTTGCTGCGGCTCTCACCTGCACAGGAGTGCGAAGCCTTGCAGGCATGGCTCTTAGGGCAGGGGCAGGACGTGCCAGCCATCTGAGACAGGCAAGACCCACTGAGGTCTTCAGGATTTGTCCGTCACCCCCGGGGACTATCTGGCCTGCTAGCAGGAGACAGTGGCCTGTCCAAAAGTGTGAGCTACCTGATGATGAACCAGATGCAAGGGCAGGACTGTCTTCTGAGAGATGTCTCCCCCTCGGTCCTTCTGTCGCTTCAGACATTCCAGGTGGAAGGAGGCCCTTCGACCTGCAAAGCCAGCCAGAGAGTCAGGATCAGGGCAGGAAAACAGGACGCTGGCCTGTGACGGTTTACACTCTGGTGGGGTGCCAGGAGCAGTAACTATGGCCCGAGACACCCCTCCTCTCCCCTCCCCTGGTCTGAGACGTGTTCTGAAGCATCTGTCCAGGGCTCATCCCTGCACACCCTGCCTTTGGATTGTTGTCTCCTTGCTTTGGAAATCCCCCGACTCTGTGGGGCTGGTTTGAGGCAGGCCACAGTGGTTTCTCAGTCATCCCTGAGTACCTGACCGGCATTCTCTTGGGAGTTACCACCGGCCACATCTGGAGAGCGAGGGGTGCATTTACCTAGTGAGGCGGAGCGGAGGAAACCCCTCTTTGGGGATTGCCGGATGTCCCTCTTGTCCTCCTCTGGGAGCGTCAGTTGCCGATTTTCGTCATCCTGGTAGGACAGCCTGGAACAGAGAGCTCTTGGGGCTTGTTCCTGGAGGCTGAGAAGTGGCCGCCCACGGGGACAGCTGCACCCCCAGAAAGCACTTTGATCCTTAGTGAAGGACGCCCGCTTTGTGCTTACAGACAGGTTTGGGGAATTGCCACCCCAAGAAGTTCTGGCCTGCCCCTGGCATCACCCCCACTCTTGCAGACCCAGCTTCCGTTTCACCTTGTGCATGGTACCAGTTAAGGTCACCCTGCCCTCATCTTTCGCTGAACGCCTGTACCCCTGGGGGTTGTACCACTCTGGGGGTAGTGAGCAACTCTCCATGTTATCTTCCTCTCCTGAGACCCTCTTAGATTCCTAGTTTGTGGAATTTCCTTGAGGATGGAGACTGGGTTCCTAAGGACCTAGCAGAGTGCCTGGTGCACCAAGCACTCTAGAATAACCAAAAAAGGTTAAAATACATGCTCTTCTGATTTCTAGGGTAGGCAGTCGGCGTTTGTTTGTATTCTCTAAAAATCAACTTAGAGAATATTATCTCATAAGGAACTTCAGGTATTTCTCCTGGTTTTACATTGTCTGTGTTTTGCTGAGTCAGAAAAGTAGGCCTGTCACCCCCATCGCCCCGTTTTGCTGATGGGGACACAAAGGCATGGGGTGGTTGAGGGATTTGTCAGGAGTCGCTGGTTGGGACTCTTTCCGTGCTTTTCCTTACTCACTGGATTCTTCTTTCTATGCTGGGGAAAAGGAGGCGCTTCTGCTACTCTTCCCATCCAGTTCCTGAGCAGAAAGCACTGGACCCCAGGAAGCCACATGCTGTGCTGGCCTGGCTGCCGCTCTCCCCACAGCCCCACAGTTGGGGGCCTGGTGCCCCCTCCCACCACCTCCAGCCACACCTTTCCTGTCTTCAAAAGCCTGCAAGGCTAGTCCTTCCTCACTCTAAAGTCCTCTCAGGAACTGAACAGACTGATATGCTGGGACGGGTCAGTGAGTGCTTCATTCCCGCCCTGGGCCCCCGTGAAGCTCCTCCCTGTCTGCATCAGCAGCTCTGGGGTTCCCCGGTGGGGCTGAGGACACACCCTGCATGGTGCCTGGCCACGCTTAACGGTGCTGCTCTTCCAGAGTGGGACAGTGGCTCCCAGCAGGCGGCACAGCCCCCCAGCATGCCAGGTTCTTGACATGCCTGCCCTCCAGCTCAGAAAATAATAGAGAAGTGGGAGCTTCTCTCTAAACCCCTGGACAAGTGTCCATCCCAGGAGCAGGCACACCTGCCGCTGGCCTGCCCATCCCTCCAGGGGGCCCATTTTCAAGTGTCTGCGTGCAAGCCCATGGGACCCAGGCATTTCCCCCTGGGGAAAACCCCATGCCTCAGTTTCCCTTTCTACAAAATTGAAACGACATATGCCCTGCCTGCCTCAGAGGCCTGTTGTGAGTCACAAATAAAGTAACAGGTGAGATGGGGCTTTGAGGGTGAAAAGAGCCAGAAAAGCTTCTGAAACAATGTGTCTCAAACTTCTGTGGATGTCACCCACAGTCCTAAGACGTTTCACAGGGCGACCCCCAGATACACATCTGTGGGCCATTAAGCCAGTGTTTCACAGCACGTGCTTGCCTTTGTGACATTTGGCGCGTTCTGATAGTTTCTATTGTGCTGTGCTGCGCCTGCTTTTAAGGGCTAGTCATGAGTGACCAAATGAATGTCACAACCTTCTAAAGAATCTAGATCTGCAGCTAAAATCCTCCAAGAATTCCAGCAAGGAGAAGAAATCTCAGGCCTGGCTTTGCCACCAGTGCCCTCTTCTGGGCAGCTTTATTATAAGCCGTGTCTTGAAACACTTGTGTGATTGTCAATAGATGTATGTGTGCACTGAGTCTCACCAGAAAATGTATTTATGACTGTGTCATACTGCCTAAAATGTTTATAAAACAATGTTCAAAAATTTTCCTGGCGAGGAAAGACCAAGCTAAAAAGGGCATCGTGTGTGTGTGTGTGTGTGTGTGTGTGATGGGGGCTCCCATTTCACTGAGGAGATGAGAGATACGGTGCAGATGTTTTTTCCATGATCTCCTCTCCTGCAATCAGCCCCAGAGAAGGGATCTCAGGCACCTTCCCCTGCCTCCCCAGATTTGTTCCCACACTTGGGTCAGCCTCGGCAGAGGGCAGCAGAGCTCACATGTCTGTGCAGAGCAGGCTGGGCTCACTGCAGGCCTCCACGTCATGGTTCATCTTCACTTCATAGGTCTCATCCTGAGACGTCTCCTCCGGACCCACCATGGCTGTCTGGCTCTCCCCGGAGTGGCACCTACAATATCCAAGATGAAGAAAAACATGAGGAACTGCTAACCTCCTCCCCTTCCTTCAGCAAGTAAAGCAGCACACACGCACGCACATGCATGCATGCACACGTGCACAAACAAGCACACACAGGTGAACAGGCATACGGTTGCTGGTGCTTTGTTCTCCTGTGATTGCCGATGGATCCGTGGAAGTGTTAAGATTAGAGTGAGGGTCCCGTTTGGGAGAAGGATGTCTGCTGTGGATCCAGGGAGATCTGAGTCCTGACCCCAATTCACTTACCCTCTGGTCCAAGTCACTTGGTCCGCCTCATGCCTCAGTTTCCCTTTCTATGAAATTGGAATGACATATGCCCTGCCTGACTTAGAGGCTGCCTCCCACTCACCCCCAGCTATGACACCTGCGTCTTTGGCATCTGGCATCGCTGAGAAGTCCCTGGCATCCTATTTTGATGGTGCCCTTGATTCTGACACTGGCACCCTGGGGTAAAGACACAGAGAGGAAGCCTCACCTAGAGGGGTTTGCTCTCCTGAGCAGAGGGCAATAAGCCTGAGTCCCTGCTAAGCCTGAATCCCTCCTGAGCTCCAGACCCTCCCACACCAGGCGTGGCTTTCCCTGCTGGGACAGGGTCTTCTGCTCACTGGGTCATGTCTTCTTTAGCTCTGGACCAAAGCTGCTTTTCCTGTCTGAGCTCAGCTCAGTGCCTCCCTCTGTCTTGCTTTCTATAGACCTTGCATGCTGGGCCCACTTTATCCTCAGACCCCCCTGAGGGCATCAGGGAAAGATCCTGGTCCATCGTCTCAGAGCCGAGTGCTAGATCAGTGCCCTGGCTCTGAACATCTCAGGCAGGGTAGAAGCAATTCTCTCTCGAGGAAGAGGAGGACTGCAGACTGCCACCCGCCCTGCAGTGGAAGGAAAGATGAGAGGCGGGAGCTCCAGGAGGATTGGGAGGGGAGGAAGGTGGAGTGGGCTTTGGCGAGGCACGGGGGGAGGAGCTGGAGACGCAGAGCAGCAGCAGGCAGGCAACAGCACTTCTGGGGGCCACCGGGCACAGGACGTGCTGGCCCATCCTCAGCACAAGCAATGAGGGCCTGAGCTGCCCTTAGCCTTGAGCTGCGACACAGGGATGAGGGAGCTGGGACGTGGGCTATGTTCCCCTTCTTAACCAAGCTGAGGCTTGATGCCCTGTGTGGTGTTTGTACCCACTGCAGTGGGCAGAGGGAACCGACATTTCATGAGCACTGACTGTGTGCTGGGCACTGTGCCGGGTGCTCTGCATGTATTTTGCTACGTGGAGAGATGTATCTGTGGGGACAAGGAAATCCCCTGGGGTCTCCTCCCCCAGCTCCTCTAAACATCCCTCTCCCCTTATGTCACAGAGGACAAAGCTTCATATGAAAATGCCCTTAGAGGGGGGAATTTAATTCACCCTGAGATGCTAAAGACAGACATGGAGCCCTCTTTAAGCAGAGGCTTCATGAGGCCAGAGGGGAGAAGGGGGTGTGGGGACCCAGGACTTGAGTCCTCAAAGGCTGTGGCAGGGGGGTGAGGTTGCAGAGAAGGATGAGGCCCCCACAACAGGTACAGGCCCCCAAGACTAGATGCCTAGATTAGATCCTCTCCTATGCAAAGCCAGCCCTTCAGGCCAGCACCTAAAATCCAGTGCCGAGCACACTGCCCTGTGCACAGAAGGCAGCAGTGCAGGCCTCATGAGTTGAAGGACACCCCCAGTGCTGCTTCTGGGTGGCAAAACCAGCCAACCTTGCAGAAAGGAAAGCAGACAGGGAGATGGTCCTTTAAACTGGCCTGTCGTCTGACACAATTAAATGCCTGGGTCCCATGGGCTTGCATGCAGCCACTTGAAAATGGGCCCCCTGGAGGGATGGGCAGGCCAGCGGCAGGTGTGCCTGCTCCTGGGATGGACACTTGTCCAGGGGTTTAGAGAGAAGCTCCCACTTCTCTATTATTTTCTGAGCTGGAGGGCAGGCATGTCAAGAACCTGGCATGCTGGGGGGCTGTGCCGCCTGCTGGGAGCCACTGTCCCACTCTGAAAGAGCAGCACCGTTAAGCGTGGCCAGGCACCATGCACGGTGTGTCCTCTCTCAGTCCCATCGGGGATCCCCGGAGCTGCTGATGCAGACAGGGAGGAACCCCACGGGGGCCCAGGGTGGGAGGGAAGTCCCACCATCCAGCATGTCATAGCAGTGCATCCTAGAGGCCAGGGGATCAGAGGACGAGGAGAAAAGAGTGAGTTGGGGTAAGAGGTGCAGTCAAGACCTCCAGGAATGATCCTGTGCTGGGCAGAATGGGCCAGTGCTACAGACGGCGCCTCCCACAGCGGGGTGCCCTCCCCGGGAGGCTGGCTAAGGGGCTCCAGGGAAGCAATGGAAACGCCATTCCCATCTCAGCTGGGAGAAAGGCCAGGTTTGGGCAGAGACTTGGTAAAGGGCAGACAGGATGGTTTCTGTTGTGCAGCCGGAACACATACATCTGAGGATCACACTGGGCCACTCAGGGAGCATGGGAGAGGAGAGGGAGAACCGGTGCCGCAGGACACTGCTGACTTGCCCTGAGCCTGCCATGTCTGATCAAGGGCAGGACTTGGGAGACAGCACAGTGCCTCCTGCTCTTGCTGGGGTCTGGGGCAGCGACCTCCTGGAAGCTTGAGGGGCAAGTGGCCAACCGAGGCCTCCGTCTCCTCCACTGTCTCCTGAGGGTTGCAACACGTGGGCCCCATGTGCCGCCTGGGGTGGCCAGCCTCCCACTTACCTTTTGGAGCTGAGCTTCCACGCCACCTCCTGCACTCGGATGGCAGGGGACAAGGGGGGCCCATGGCCCTCCACAGTGCTGACTGTGCTGGGGTAGCCAGCGGGGCGAGGGAGGCGACCTAGGGCGGTGTTGTTGGCATTGTTGATGTTGGCATTGGAGCCGGTGGATGAGTAGCTGCTGGGGGTGAAGGTGGAGTCCACCAGCTTCTCGTGGGACGGCGACTCAGTGTCGCCCTGGCTGCTGCCCGCCTTGTTGATGTGCAGCGGGCGCTGAGTGGTGAAGGTCTGGGGGAAGGCGCTCCGGCCGTCGCTTTGGTAGTAGCTGACGTGGTTGCCGAACAGGCCACCGGCCCTCTGTAGGCAGGAAGGAGGGGCGGGTGGAGGAGAAGCCCCTCAGCACCCACTCCTCCCAGAGAACAGACTCCACAGCCAGGTCAGGGAAGTACAGGGCCTGGGAGGGCAGGCTGCCTTCTTTCGGGGAGGTCCAGCCCTGCTGGGAGCCAGGAGCACCTGAGGACCTTCTTCATGCCTGGCAGCTCCAGAGAGGGAGGGACCCGGAGTCTCAAGGCTCCAGGCTCCCCTCTGTGGCAGCTGGGAGAACCCACCCACCAGTGGGGATGGGATTGAGCAAGGGGCTGTCGCTGGTACAAGCTGCCCTGGAGGTTTCCAGCGAAGTCCCTGGGCTGGGGTGAGTTTCCAGGGCACGTCCAGGATGGTGGTCCCTAAGAGCAGCCAGCACATCGTGGGGGCGGGGGCTGAGAGAGCAACCAGAAGATTCTAACCAGATTAAAAAAATGGAAATCCAATGTGGTCACAGAGCTAAAAGCTGTGTTGGCCAAACGGTTTTGAATATGAAGAATTTCCTGCATGACGGTCTTTTTTCCCCTCGGGGACTCGGAGAGATTTAAAACCTGGAGCCAGTGTTTTTCCCCAGTATTCTTTTCCTTGTCCTGGGGAAGTGGGCCAGTAGCTATTTGCAAAGTTGGTCCAACCCTTGACCATCAGAACATCCCTGGGTCTTGGTGACTGAGCCTTTGGTTTCTGGGGTCTTGTCGGGTTGTGTCACCACCATGCCATGTCTGAGGCCACTCAGTGATGAATGGCTCCCAGTGATGAGAATAAGGATGAGGAAGAGATGGAGCAGGGGCAGGATGGGCTCAGCTTGCCCCCTGTGTGTTCCACAGCCTGGGAACTGGGCCCGGGGCCGGGAGAGAGAGGTGTGAGCAGGGCCCTGCACAATTATGGCTGGCAGCTTCTCCCTTGCTATAGAAGGATTTGTAACCAAACACCAGCGGGGTGAGGCAGGCAACACAAGTGAGTGATAAATGCCCCTCATTCCAGAACAGCCTTTTTAATTTTCACTATCGCAACTGCTGGGCAGCTTCAGTCTCCAGGAAAGGAGAGGGAAAGGGAAGGACTGGAGGGGTCTTCGAGACCTGGAGAACAGACGCTATGCTCCATCTCAAAGGGCAACCGCCACTAGGCTCCAGCCCTCTGCTGCCCTGTGGGAATGCAAGCTCAAAAGTGCCAGGTCTCCTGACTTTCCCAAGGAATGCCAGAAATCTTGATTTTGACCTGAATGTGCCAGATTTTCAAATATTAACAAACAAAACAAGCCTGCAGATTAGATGTGCCCCGGGGTGACCACTTTGTAACTTCTATTTTTTTTTTTTTTTTTGAGACGGAGTCTCGCTCTGTTGCCCAGGCTGGAGTGCAGCGGCCAGATCTCAGCTCACTGCAAGCTCCGCCTCTTGGGTTCAAGCGATTCTTCTGCCTCAGCCTCCCGAGCAGCCGGGACTACAGGCGCCCGCCACCGCGCCCGGCTAGTATTTTGTATTTTTTAGTAGAGACAGGGTTTCACCATGTTAGCCAGGATGGTCTCGATCTCCTGACCTCATGATCCGCCCGTCTCGGCCTCCCAAAGTGCCGGGATTACAAGCGTGAGCCACCGCGCCTGGCCTGTAACTTCTAATGTAGAAGTTTCTCCTAGGAAACATTTCACTTAGGGAGGCGGCTCCTTCCCACTTCACTGAGAGCCAGTGACACTGGGAGCCACTATTTCCAGGGAGCCCTGCCATGGGATGGAGTCAGGCTTGGAAAAGGCAAAGGGGTGGAGAGACAGCGAATCAGGAAGAGCCTGGAATTGGCCCTCTCCTCTGGTGCAGCTCTTTCCCCTGGACGTTCCCCGCAAAACCCCAGCCCACCCTCTTGCTCCAAACTGAACTTTATAGAGGCCGAGAGTGCGCCATGGCACCACCCACCCTGAAGATGTCATCTTCAGAAGCAGCGGACACAGCCTCCTTCATGGCCTTGTCCAGCTCCTCCTCAGCGGTGAGATCTCCAGAGATGGCCCGTCGGATCTCAGGCCCGATGTCGTGCAGCGTGCGCAAGCCAGCCTGGAACCCAAGGGGAGGATGGTGAGGACCGTGCTCCCTTTCCTCCAAGCTCGCCAGCCAGCCAGAGCCTCCGGCCAAGGCCTGTCCCTCCAGGGCCCTGGCATCCTCCAGCCAGCCAGTCGACCCTCCGGAAGGTTTGTCTGCGTATGAACTGGGGGCTGGGCTGCCCTCTGATGGAAGAATCCACTCGCCCATCCGGGAGGGATGAAGGCTCATTAGGAGGGGGCACCAGGGGTCAGGACTGTCACAGGAGCCTCAGTGAAGTGTTTGCGAGATCTGGGGGCTATGACAGCAGGCACGACCATGGAGGGCAGTCGGTGGGTGGCAGGTGGGGAAGGGCACATCACCCCCTTCTCACAGCCATCTTTGGAAAGGTCTGGAGTTCTCTGAAAGGTTCCCTCTGCTGGGACCTGGCCTCCAGCCTGCTGGGAAGGGACTGGGACCCTGACTGGAGGTCAGAGGCAATGACCAGGACCTTCCTGGAGTGTGGGTCCGCCCCCAGGCCCTCACCTGCAGAGACAGCGCGTTCCTCTGGGAGGGTTTGCCCACAAGGCCCTGCTCTTTGCGCTTCTTGAACTTCCGGAAGTACTCCTGGATCAGGAATGTGGCGTAGAACTTGCCAACGGTGACCTCATCATCTGAGACGTATGGAGAGGGGAGAGGGGGTAAGAGGGAATTCAGTTGAACTTCATTCATTTTTTTTTTTTTTTTCAGCATCTAAAACTTTTTAGGTTTAATTTTTTTGGAGAGGTAGCACATTCACAAGGCTTAAAAAGAGAAAAAAAAAATACATAAAAAGGCTTATGGTGAAAAGTCTCTCCTTCCACAGCCCTTATCTGCCTAGTCACCACCTCCTGTAGACAATCTAGTTTCTCGAGTATTTTCTTGGAGATTCTTAGTGCAAATTGGTTACGTAAATCATCAAACATATTCTTAGCCCCTGTTTTTTTTTTTTAAGGAAAAGGTAGCCTATCATCAAAATTATTTCCCGCTTTTTTTTTTAAACTTTGCTGATATTTGCTGACTCTTATTTGATTCCAGAGCTTCAAATGTCTCTCATCAATTGACCCCTCTTCCAACTGCAAAACAGTTCAGCTCAGCTTGGAGGGAGGGGCTGCTGGAAGGACGGCTTTCTTCCCATGGAAGTTTGGATTTTTCTTTCAAACCAGATTGGGTTTTTGTGCCAGGTGGCTTGGCTGCACCCCTGCTGGGCTGGATACCCAAGATTACATGTGACATCATCAGTCCCTGTCCTGGGAGTGAACCTGATGGTGGAGAAGCCATAAGTTCCTACAGGAAACATTTCATGCCTCGTAAGGAGCCCCTTGGCTCCACCTCCTGGTTCACTGTGAAGAGATGCAACGGGCCCAAGAGACAGACCTAGGGGCTGGTGAGGGTTCTCCTCCTACCTGTCCCTCCAAAACAGCCAAATCCATAGCAGTGATGACCCCTCCCTTCTCTGGCAAGCACCCCCTTTCCACGTGGGAGGGAAAAACCCAGGGTCCCCTCTCCCGCAGAGTCGGGAAGGAAGAACTGCATGGTGGGACAAGCCTGGAGTCCTAGGTCCCCTGGGGCCTGGGTCTGAATCCTGAATCTGCTCTGGACTCTCCAGGTAACCTTGGGTCAGCAACTTAGCTTCTAAGAACTTTAGTTCCCTGAGCAAACTTCACAGAAATGTTGTCAGGATTCAATAAAATGATGTATGTAAAATATCACATGGCACTGGTGAGATTTTCACTTAGCCCAAGTCTGGCTTTCGCTCTGGCAAGTGGTTCTTAACACAAGTGGTGTCGCCTCTTAAGGAGGGCACAGTAAATGTGTGGGATGGTTTTTAGTTGTCAGGGCACTGTGGGGGTGCCACTGGCATTCGGCAGCTCCAGACCTGTCCCTTGAAGTGCAGGCATGTTCTGCAATCGCAGCTTTGCACCCTGCAGGGCTTTCAAGTTTATGCCACACATCCATGATTCTGCTTAGGATTCTCTGAGCTCAGAACATAATTCCGTTTTGCAAATGAACACAGGATATTGTTTTGCATGGTTTTAACATACCTAAAAATTTCCAGGAATACAACTGCTGTGTAAATTGACGAAAACTATACCTTGGAGTGTTTAAACTTGGCTGAGAGAGGTTCGCGTTTTGGAAAACTGGATTCCTGATGGCGATGCTCTTTGCGGTGTCTGGGTCACTCACTGTAAGTGTCATGTCATGGTTATTCTGCATACGTGTAAGTACATGTGTGTGTTTATGTGTGGGGGGCTATTTATACACACAGTTATTTAATACACTGATTTACCCCTTATTTCAAAATGACAGATACAAAGTGTTGACAGTATTCAGTATTGTCTTACTTCCTGTGAACCCAATTGTCTTACTTCCTGTGTCGTAAGTGTGTACATGAGAAGATCTCATCAGTTAAATGTACCTTCTGGTATAGTTATGAGTATTTACATATTGGAAATATCTGCTTTTAATAGATTTTATGTTAGAGTGAAGGCATTATATTAATATTTTGGAAATTATATGTATAGGAAAGTTATATTATCTATAATTTTCATTCGGGGTCATAGTAATGGCAGTATAAAGTCTTTGCTATAAAAAGGGATTTGGAGCTTGACAGGGTCAAGAAACACTGCTCTTGGAAGAACAGAAAGAATTTCATCCAAGAGGGGAGGAATCTCAGGGGATTCTCCTTTCAGGGCCTTAGAGCAATCCTACAGCAATAGGTTTATGGGAAACCTACACTTTGTGGAGTTTCCTTAGAAGTTCTGCCAAACCCCTAAGCATCAGGGACTCGCCTGTTACCCTATGTAAAAAGCAGGGTTGCACCAGATTTCCAGCCTGGCATTCTGTTTCTGAGTTTTTGCAGGGCATTGCACCTGCGTCCCTTCTAACCAACAGGGCCTCTGAGTCCCGCAGGAAGGGTCTGAAGGCAGAACTCCAGCAAGCCTAGGGGACTCAGGAAGCAAGTCTCAGGGGATGCCTCCACATTCTAAGGGTGCCACCACTGGAGGAGAGGCAGGCCGAGGAAGGCACGGCCAGGTTGTGGCCGAGGCGCGGGGCCCAGGGAGCACTCACCGCCTGCAGGAGGCACCACCTGGTCCAGCAGCTTCATGCTGGTCCGCTTCCAGATCTTCTTGATGATGGCCCGCAGCTCCTCATTGGCCTGTTCGAGGTTCCCTGCAGGGCGGAAAGGATCCTCAGCCCCTTGGTGGGCCTCTGATGGGCTGGGTCCCTCTGCGTAAGGTAGGAAGCCACAGATGGTGGCGTCTGCCCCACGCAACCTGACACATCAGTTTCTTTCTCGCTGGCTTCACTTCTCCCCAGTCTTCCCGTTTTCTACCTCCTTCCTCTTCCCCTTCCTCTCTCCACCTTCCTTCCTTCCCCCTTCCCTCTAGTGCCCTGTCCAATGCCATTCCTCTCCCCTTCCCCCTGCCTGTGGCTCAGGCCAGCCAGGGGGCCCCTCCTCCGGCACTCAGTGCTCTTCCTTGTGGACTGAGCCCAGCGCCCGGGCAGGAACAATGGCGGCCATGCGCTCACCAGCTGGAACACGTATGGCCCCGCCACGGGCAGTAGGGGGTTCCCATGGGTGGCATGTCTCATGGAACTCGTTGGGCAGCCACAGGGAACATGGATGATAGGAGGGTACATCTGTCAATGAGGGCTCTGTCCTGAGTTCCCCTGCTTAGATGCCTGCCCTATGCAGCCTCTGAAGCCCCAGCCTTACAGTGGTGAAAAAGGAAAGCCGAGCCTCCTTACAGCTGTAAGGGCAGATGTGGGGGACAGGATTCTAAGATGCTCCTCACCAGGGTATACACGCTGCCAAACCCCTGGACCCCTAACCATCAGAGATTTTACTCCTGAGATTAGATTATATGGCACACGGCACCCATGACCTAAGACAGGGAGGTTAGGTGGACCTGACCTAGTCACGAGCCCTTTAAAAGCAGAGTTCTCTCCAGCTGGCCTGGAAGAAAGCAAACACTTGTGTGGGCTGAACTTAGAGAGGCTGCTTCTAGGAGCTGAGGGGGTCCCCAGCTGTCAACCAGCAGGAAATTGGGGACCTCAGACCTACAATTGCAACGGATGAATCCCATCAACAACGTGATCTCCCCCAGAGCCTCCAGAAGAGACCATGGCCTGATCAATATCCTGGATGTGCCTTATGAGAGCCCAGCTTCACCACTGCTGGACTTCTGACCTGCAAAACCATGAGCTAATAACAGGGTATCTTTTTTTTTTTTTTTTTTGAAGACAGAATTTTGCTCTTGTTGCTCAGGCTGGAGCGCAATGGCGTGATCTCGGCTCACTGTAACCTCCGCCTCCTGGGTTCAAGCAATTCTCCTGCCTCAGCCTCCCGAGTAGCTGGGATTACAGGCATGCACCACCATGCCCAGCTAATTTTGTATTTTTAGTAGAGATAGGGTTTCTCCATGTTAGTCAGGCTGTTCTCAAACTCCCGACCTCAGGTGATCCGCCCGCCTCGGCCTCCCAAAGTGCTAGGATTACAGGCATGAGCCACCGTGCCCGGCAACAGGGTATCTTTTTAAGCTGAAAAGCTTGTAGTGATTTGCTTTGCAGAATAGGAAGCCAACATGGGATGTTTACTGCTCTTGCACAGCCCTCAGAAGCTGGGAGAAAGGGTGGAACAGATTCTCCCCACAGCCACCTGAAAGAACCAATCCTCCTGACACCTTAGTTTTAGACCTCTGGCCTCCTAAACTGAGAGAACTTTATCTTGTTTCAAGCTGCCCAGTTTGTGATCATTTGTTACAGCAGACCTAAGAAATTAACATAGCTTCCAAAAGGACCTTTCATTTTTTTTTATCAGCCTTAATTTATTCTCATGACGGTCTATGTAATTGTGGAAGTTCGCCGACAATTGTTTCCTGTCATCTGAGTATTTTTCAATATCTTCCTTCTATGTTCCAAGAGAAAAGCTTGTTTGGCTTGGTACTGGACTTGGGATGAGAGCTCTGGTTCTCTGAGGTAGGTGTTAATTTCTCCCCAATTCCTTCCAGGCTGAGATGTCTGAAGGGTGAGGACTGATGCCAGCCTTATCTTCACAAATGTAGGTGCCTTCTCCCATTTCTTTCTGGTTGTTTCTAAGACGTGACTTTGTCTTCCTTTCTTAAGATTTTAACAAGATTGTGGAGGGCCCGTGTCTGATGAAGGCTCACCCTTTGGTGGGGGCATTACGGGCCCTTTGGTAGCTGTTCTGAAAAGTCTTTGTGTTTAAAAGATAGTCTTTAATTCTTGACATGATTGTAGTTCCCACATGGCTGGCTTCTCCCCTTTTCTCTGGAACTCCTATTTCCTCAGAATTGGGTCTCTGCATTTGATTGATCAGTCTTTCGCATTGTTACTAGCTATTGGTCTTCCGTAGTTGGCAGGTGGCTTGCTTTGACAGTGAACCTTCGACCTTGCCGAATCCTTGCTTCCATACCTGCCTGTCTTTTGTTCCTCTAGGGAACAAAATCTTACACCCTCAATTTATATTAAGCTTTAAGTATTACAGCATATTCCTCCTGGCAGTCATTTATATCGCCTCTTCTTCCCTCGGAACATAGGGTAGTAACACTCCTTGCAGAAAATTTGGAAAGTAAAAAAACTAAAGGAGTAAGGTAGATGCCACTGCTGATCTTTCTACTCATGATAATCAATGTTAACATACGAACACGTTCTTCCCAGTTTTCTTCCTTGTTATACACATGTATGTGTGAATTAAATGTGTGTTTTGGCCGGGCACAGTGGCTCATGCCTGTAATCCCAGCACTTTGGGAGGCCCAGTCAGGCAGATCACGAGGTCAGGAGATTGAGACCATCCTGGTCAACATGGTGAAACCCTGTCTCTATTAAAAATACAAAAATTAGCTGGGTGTGGTGACACATGCCTGTAATCCCAGCTACACAGGAGGCTGAGGCAGGAGAATGGCTTGAACCAGGGAGTTGGAGGTTGCAGGAGGCTGAGATTGCGCCACTCCACTCCAGCCACTCCAGGTGACAGAGTAAGATCCATTTAAAAAAAAAAGTGTGTTTTTGTTTTCTGGTAGTCAGAAATAGGCCTATTTACACCCATTTCAGATTGAGTGATTGCATTGGCTACTGATGGTGTATTTTTTTAGCCTTTGCTTTTTTTTTTCAGTTTAGTAGCGGAACTTGTCCTATTTTTATTTTTTTTTTTTCATTTTATTTTTTCAAATGGAGTCTCACTCTGTCGCCCAGGCTGGAGTGCAGTGGTGTGATCTCAGCTCACTGCAACCTCTGCCTCCCAGGTTCAAGCTATTCTCCTGCTTCAGCCTCCTAAGTAGCTGGGATTACGGGTGCCCACCACCATGCCTGGCTAATTTTTGGTATTTTTAGTAGAGATGGGGTTTTACCATGTTGGCCGGGCTAGTCTGGAACTCCTGACCTCAGGTGATCCACCTGCCTCGGCTTCCCAAAGTGCTGGGATTACAGGCGTGAGCCACCGTGCCTGGCTCCTATTTTTATTTTTTAAAAATCAGCTAATTATTTTGATTTCTGTCTTGGTGGACTGGTTCTTGTTTCACTTCATTTCAAATGTTTCTGTTATTTTTTCTGAAGGATCTAACTGAGAGAAGATCCATGTCTGGGTTATTCAATGAATTAAATTCCCAGATGTCATCACCTTTCTCTAGTCTACCAATGAAGCAACTGAAGTAGAGACAGAGTAAATGGCTCATACTCATGTCATTAGTGAGAGAGCAGGGATTTAGATTCGAGTCTCCCATCTCCCTGCCAAGGGCTCCTTCTGTTGCCCCAGAGGAACACACTGACGGACAGCCTGAGCTTTAAGCTGGAAGTGTAGGAAGGGGAAGGAAACATGCTGCTTGTCTCATCTGTGTTTTCTGTAATTACTACACCAGTGGGTTTGAATCATCTCTGTAGCTGGTTCAAAATGCAGATTTCTGGGCCCCATGCTTGGGGATTTGGCGTCATCAGATCTGCGTGGGTGCCTGGGACTCTGTAGCTTAAACGGGTGTCCAAAGCTGATTCTGCAGCAGGTGGTCTTTTGACCACGCTCTAGGAAACACTAGACACTCCAAGGCTGGACACGCTTGCAGAGAAATGGCATCTTCTTAGGTGTATTTAATACAGCCTTTCCCACAGTGGTTCACAAACTCTTATCCATCATAAAGTGAGCAGATTATCTCGCTCAGGCTGCTGCTAGCCCTTAGGGTGCCTCGTGAAAACTAGAAGGGCCCCTCCAGGTGGACACAGCCCTGAGGGAGCCCGGTTTGACTAGGTGGCACCGGTGAGGTCTGAATCCTCACCTGTCCGCTGGCTGAGAGCCTTGAGCCAGGCTCAGCCCACACAGTGTGTGCGATGACCTCCACCACGGCCACCACTTGTCACTATGTCCCCTTTCCCACACATGTCTTCCCAGCACAGTCCTATTAATTTAATGAGTTGAGCATTTGAGACATCCACCTGTAGCCAGTGTTAAGTCCTTTTAGACAGGGGTTGGTCCTGCTTCAGCTAACACCCGTCTCCTTCTGTTTTGTGAGCTATACCCTCTGACTTTTAAGATGCCACCAGAATGAGTCCCAGAGTTTCATGGAAAGCGAGAGTTCAAAATGAATAAGCCAGAGTAGGCTGGTCCAACCTGCAGCCCACGGGCCACATGAGGCCCAGGACAGCTTTGAATGTGGCCCAACACATATTTGTAAACTTTCTTAAAACATTGAGTATTTTGTGATTTTTTTTTTTTTAGTTCATCAGCTATCATTAGTGTATTTTATGTGTGGCCCAAGACAATTCTTCTTCCAGTGTGGCCCAGAGAAGCCAAAAGATTGGATACCCCTGGGCTAGAGGCAGGGAGACCATTCAGGAAGCAAAGAAGTCATGAGCAGGCTGGGGCCCTGTGATGTCCTGGAGCACAGCTCACCCCTGTATCCCCGCTCGGATGCTGTCTGGGACAGGAAGGTCCCTCGAGCACTGTGCAGGCTGCCGAGCTCCTCTCTGATTGTCTGCTAGACCTTCTGAGTGTCTCTCCCAGTGCCCACGGGCGCCCTTACCTTCTGTTTTGATCCTCAGGGCTGTCCTGACCAGGGCAAACAGGGTGGCATTGAACATGACCGTCCCGTCGCTGTTCAGAGGCATGTTCATGGAGACCAGGCGCTGCAGGGGAAGGGGAGCAAAGCCGGTGATGACAGCAGGTGGTGCTTAGGGGACCACAGAACACCGTGGCAGAGTGATATGGTTTGGATCTGTGTCCCCGCCCAAATCTCATGTTGAACTGTAATCCCCAGAATTGGAGGTGGGGCCTGATGGAAGGTGATTGCATCATGGGGTGGATTTCTCATAAACGGTTTGGTGCCATCCCCTTGGTGAGTGGGTTCTCATGAGATCTGTTTAAGTGTGTGGTCCGTCCCCCTTCTCTCTTGCTCCCTGTCTCTCCATGTGATGCACCTGCCTCCCCTTTGCCTTCCACCATGACTGGAAGCTTTCTGAGGCCTCCCCAGAAGCAGAATGCTAGTGCCAAGCTTCCTGTACAGCCTGCTGAACTGTGGGCCAATTAAACCTGTTTTCTTATAAATCACCCAGTCTCGGGTATTTCTTTATAGCAGTGCAAGGATGGCCTAACACAGAGGATGCTGGGGGAGACACGCAGCTTGTGTGGGTGTTGTTGGAGTGGACAGCGAGTGAATGATCCCTGAAGCATTCCAGGGAGAATCCTGCCTTTGCCACAACCACTTGTGACCCTCCTCACAGAGTGGGAGAGGTATGACATTTGTCCTCATTAGACCTTCACTTCCACAGAACGATGTGAAGGCCACCCAACCTTGCGCCCTGCTCGAAAGTCTGCTCAGGCGTGCAGGTGCGCTCTCCAGTGGCAGCAGAGACTGGCTGCACGCCAGCACATGCTGGGAGCCCACCTGCCAGGCAGCATTCACCCACAGCCCAGAGAAGAGAAGGGATCACAGGAGCTTTGCCTGCAGGAGATGCTACATGTCCTCTCTGTGTATTGCCAAATACGCTTCTGCATCAAGCTGGAGCAGAAGCCTGCTGACACTGGATAGTGCTGTCTTGCCCTCTTCTTTCCTAGCACACCCCTAGAACAGGCTTCCCTGGCACTGAGCTCTGGTGTGGGGCCTTCAGCATGCACTGGGTCACGATGAGCAAGCGCGGTGTGAAGCTCACCACGGCATCCATGCCGAGGGCATGCTCAAGGGGGCTATTTGTCAGCTCACACGGTGACCTCCTGCTAATCTCAGTGTCTAGAAGGGTTACACTTTTCCTGAGTGACCAGATCTTGGTGAGTCTCATGGATGGTGTGAACTGTATCGTGGCCACTGGAAAGTTTCGCACCCAGGCCTCAGCCTGCCCAGGCCCATCTGCAGGCCACAACGGATGCACCTTAGCCCCCTCCAGGCTGCACCCCTGCCCACCCTCACCTTGCATGGTGTTTGTACCTTGCATTTATTTTATACTCCTTTTTTTCTGATATTTTCTATGCCCTTGGAAATCTCTTAAAATGTTTGTTTGTTTTTTTTTTTTTTGGAGTAAAGTAGAGGCACAAATGAGAAGAAACTCAGTAAACAGAGCACAAGTAGAAGGTTCTGTGTTCCCTCAATCTGCGTTTTCCATGAGTGGATTCTCACAGAGCCGAATCTTCCTGCCATCTGAGTCTCCTCCTCTCTCCAGCCCTCTGGTCTCCCTTCGCCCACCTCTGTCAGCTCATTACTGCCCCAACAAGGAGTGCAGAATGGCCATAGAAGAGAGGAGGGGAGAGATGGAAATGACACTTTCTTTTTTTGGGGTCATGGTCTCACTAAGGAATCTGAGGAAAGTGAGAGATCCTCCCCTGGGACACTTTGTATTTTAGTGATTTTATGTACAATTTTAGGACTCGCAGACCCCTGAAGTCAATGCCTGGGCTTTCTAATTGCCCTCCACCTCCAGGAAAAGAACGCCTAACCCCTCTAGCCTAGGCTGGGGAGTCTCCCACCCCAGGATGCCCGGATGGTGCAGTGGAACAGGCTGAAAAAGTCCTTTATCCAGGACTGGATCCCTGGCTCACTGGGACAGGAGGCATTTACTCCTTTATTCCCTTATAGAGTCTGAGAATTTAGAGCTGGAAGGATCCTTAAAATGTAATCTTTAGGCACATACACTAGTATGTTCATTCCCTTAAAGGATCACAAGAAATGGGCACTTCGCCTCCCGTATTTTCCCTCTTCCTCCTATGAACCCGGTTATCTCTTACTTTGCAAGCCACGCGGTGAGGGCACAGCTTCCCAAAACCTAGTGGGGGCTGAATCCGCCGGAGGAGGGTCACCACATCCAGGTGTTTGATACGACCCCTAGAAGAGGAAGGAGGGGAGGGACAGGGTATCAGAGAGCCATGGTCTCTGCCAGCAGTGCAGGATGCATGCACCTGAGGGGCGGGGCCCACTCACGTGGGCAACACGGCACTGTGTGGTGGCTCTATTAGTCACACTCAGTGCAGAGCTGCAGAATTGCATGGCACAGCCCCAAACCAATATACATATACACGTGTTTAGGTTTTAATGAATACTTTTCTGCCCATGCTATGTTCAAAGTGGAAGGGATTTTAGCAGTGCAACGGAATTCTCAATACATACTTGCTGACTGAATGAACTAACCTTCTGACTAAAAGCTATTTACTGAGGGTCAGCCCAATGTGATTGATCTTTAGACCAGAAGCAGGAATGGAGTCAAGATTTTCCCCAGCCCTGTGTATCCTAACTTGAACACTTAACTAGTTATTCCTGATACTAGAATTTCCTGTCCTTCCATTCAACTGAATGTAGTAGATATATTCTTTTCTTTCTTTTCTTTTCTTTTTTTTTTAGATGGAGTCTTGCTTTGTTGCCCAGGCTGGAGTGCAGTAGTGCAATCTCAGCTCGCTGCAACCTCCGCCTCCCGGATTCAGGCAATTCTCGTGCCTTGGCCTCCCGAGTAGCTGGGATTATAGGCATGTGCCACTATATCCGGCTAATTTTTGTATTTTTAGTAGAGATGGGGGTTTACCATGTTGGCCAGGCTTGTCTTGAACTCCTGGCCTCAAGTGATTCACCCACCTCAGCCTCCCAAAGTGCTGGGATTCCAGACATGAGCCACCACACCCAGCCTAGTAGATATATTCTTGACTTAATTGAAGGTGCCAGGCCTCCTCCTGCTGGCAAACCCTGGGGTTTGATGCAGTTTGGTGTTTCTAATTGATCCACCCAGTGCTGGCCAACCGTGAGCCCCTCCTGCAGGTATGGTCGGCGATACCCTCTCTCAGCTTAGGGAATCAGGCCTTCCCTCTGGGAACTTACTTGGCTTCAGGGTCATACTCTGCCCAGATTCTTTTAAACTCATCCAGGTGGTGGGGACCAAGGATGGACCAGTCCCTTGTCAGGTAATCAAAGTTGTCCATGATGACAGCTACAAAGAGGTTGATGATCTGCGGGGAACAGTACAATGAGGTGCTGGGAAAAGATCTTCCTACACACCTGCCTCTGGAACCCCCTTGCCAGCCGGGGCCCACGGATGGCAGAAGCCAACATTTCTAAAGACCGGTAATCCATCCTACCAGCCTTAGAACCTGGGTCTCTTGGACATAAACTTGACACAGCTTCCCTGAGAGTTGTGTGTGATGAACCCACATCACAAGCTGGACAGCTTCCCTCCTACTGAGCTGCTGGGCAAGGCTGCGCAGGACAGAGGGGACTTTATCCCCTTTTCCTCACTCCTCAGAAAGATGCCAAAAAAGTATAGTTCTTTCTAGGCCTCCACATGTCCCCTGTGTCCTCTGGGACAATGCCAGCGTGACAAGAGCCAAGAATGGACAAGCAAGATGCTGGTGGAGCTCACTCTGGCCCAGGGCTTTCTGCCTTTCTCTCCATGTGGCCGGACACTCCTGCCAACTTAGCCTTCCCAAGCCAGCTCCTCTGATGGGGCTGCCCTGACCGTGAGCTGCAGAGATGGAGGGTTCAGGCTGCCCTGGAACTGGGCACTCATGGCGCTGGCTGTTGAGTTCCCCCTTGGCTTACCAGGAAGGCACAGAGCATGTAGAAGCTGATGAAGTAGAAGACGGCAAAGCTGCTGCCACAGGGTGTCTCACCCTCCGTGCTGTTGCCGGGTTCGGACTCTGGGGCACACTTCTTGCCTGGCATGCAGGCCAGCATGATGTCCTGCCAGGCCTCCCCGGTGGCACACCTACGGGGGAGGGAGAGCCACATCCATGCAGCCCATCCTACAGACGCCAAGGAGGGTCCTCTGCATCCCTCCCCGCTTGTCCCTTTCCTCCTTCCCCAGAGGGAATCACTAAAATGAACTTGATGTTCATCATTCCCCGAATGCTCTGATATGTTCGCTAAATATGCAAACACATGGCATTATTTTGAAGATTTTACATTTTATATACACAGTAACAAACTGCACCTTTTCCGAAAACTTGCTGTTTTTGCAATCCACATGATGTTTTTGAGACTTAGCCTTTTGGATGTATTTTAGTTCCAGTTCATTCACCTTAACTGCTGTATAGGAGTATGCTCTATGAACTTACCATAAAAAAATCCACCGTCCTGTTAAGGAACATTTAGGTTTTTCACTTTTTTCTTTTACTAGTACAAAAAACACTGCAATAAACATGCAGATTTATATCTTGGGTATCCACTTAGAAGTGGAATTGCCAGTTAAAGTACACGTGTCTTCATTTTTACTAGATATTCCTTGAACTCGAAGGGTTTGTCCAACTTAGACCTCCTATTACCAGTGTAGGAGAAATGACACTACAAACTCATCTGTTCATTAGTGAATTGTTTTAAATGATGCTCGTATAATTCGTGTGAGATAGTATGTCATTGCTGTTTTAATTTGGTTATAAAATGATTAGTGGGTTGAGAATTTAGATTTTATCTTCCATTAAATTGCATGTTCATGTTTTTGCTTGTTTGATTCAGGATGTCTTCTTGTTCGATTGTAGGGTGCTTAAGATATTCTATTCTCTATTCTTTTTAAAAATTTTCAATAGTTTTTGGGGAACAGGTGGTTTTTGCTTGCACGGACAAGTTCTTTAGTGGTGATTTCTGAGATTTTGGTGCACCCATCACCCAAGCAATAGCCTTTTATCCCTGACCATCCTCCCACCCTTCCTCGAGTCCCCAAAGTCCATTACATCATTTTGCAAATGGTGCTGCTATAAACGTGTGTGTGCATGTGTCTCTTTCATATAATGACTTCTTCCCCTTTGAGTAGATACCCAGGAGTGGGATTGCTGGAGGGAATGGTAGTTCTACTTTTACTTCTTTAAGGAATCTCTATACTGTTTTCCACAGTAGTTGTATTAGTTTACATTCCCACCAGCAGGGTAAAAGTGTTCCCTTTTCACCACATCCATACCAACATCTATTATTTTTTATTTTTTAAATTACAGCCATTCTTGCAGGAGTAAGGTGGTGTCTCATGGTGGTTTCATGTCTATTCTTAATCCTTTGTTAGTTACACGCATCAGAAATAGCTTCTTCCAATTTGTGGCTTATCTCTGGCATTATTTATGATGTATTTTGGTAAATCTAAGTTTTGCATTTCAATGAGGTCAAATTTATAGTTTTTCCTCTATGTTTTGTGCTTTTTGCATCTTGTTTAAAAAATCATTCTCTGTTTTAGGTCATAAAGACATTCTTTTCTATGTTCTTCTAAAGGTTCTAAAGTTTTGTTTTTCACAGTAACTTACTCACCTGAAATTTATTTTCATGTTTGATATGAGGTAGAAATACGCTTTTATTTTTCTCTGTATAGATAAGTCATTTTACTAATACTATTTATTGAATAGTACATCTTTACCTACTTAATTGAAATATTTCTTCTGCCATAAGTTGTATTTCCATAGGTGTGTAGCTTGTGTTCTAGCCTTTCCATTCCATTCCTTAGGTTTATTTGTTTATCTTGGTACAGAAGTACTGTGTTGTCTTCATAGTAAGTTGCCTTATGGTAAGTCCTGCCCTTTCACAGTGCAGGAGTCCTTCCAACCTGTTGTTCTTCAACATTTGTCTTGGCTATTCAGTTTCCTTTTCTATTCCATAGACACAGTAGAGTCAGTTCCAGGCTCTATGAGTAATCCTGTTGGGAGTCTTATTAGAATTGCATTGGGATATCGATTAACTTGGGGAATCCTGACATCTTTATGATATTAAGTCTCCTGGCCAGAAATGTGGCATATCCTTCCTTTTATTTTGTTGTACATTTAAAATGGTATAGTTTCAACATTATATTTTAAAAGCTATATCCATTTGCTGCTGATATAGAGGGAATACAATTGATGTCATATTATGGAATATTTGCTGAACTCTCCTATTAGTTTTAGCAATTTTCTGTAATTTTTCTTGTATATACACACAGGCAATCAATTTTTTTGGCATTTAATTTTGTTTCTTCCTCTCCAATTCTTATCCTTTGATTTATTTTTCTTGTCTTATTTTATTGGGTAAGAGTTATAAAGTAATAATACTGAAAAAGTGACAGCATAAGATCTTGTCTATTACATTTACTAATTAGTTATTGCCAGCACAGGAAAACAATTATTTTTCTTTGTTAATCTTTTAATCTTCCACTTTATTAATTCTATTGTCATAAAAGGTTTTTAGTTAATTTGCATAGATTTTCTACTTGAATTAGCCTGTCGTCTGCAAACAATGGCAGTTATGTGTACATATTTTCATATTTATAACTGCTTGCTGTTTTCTCTTTTTCTTATTGGCATTAGCTTTGTGTTAGTCTTATGGGATGAGTGAAGAGGTTTTCTACAACTTTCTGTTCCTGGAAAGTTTATATAACATTGGAATGATCCACTCCTTGATAGTCTGGTAGACCTCACAAATAAAAATATTGAATCTTGGGCCTTTTCAAAGGCTAAATTTTTGACTACCTTTTCAATTTCTGTTGTAGTTGTTTTTTTTTTAATTCTTAAGGTAATTTTATAATTCTTATTTTCTACATAAAAGCATCTGCTTCATTTAGGTTTTCAAATAGATTGGCACAAATTTGTTCATGATGTTCTCTGTCTTCTTTTTTGAAGTCTGATATTATTCGTCTGCTACTCTTACAAAAATCTTGTGTGTGTGTGTATGTGTTTAGAGATGGGATATCACTTCGTCACCCAGGCTACAGTGCAGTGGAGCCATCTTAGCTCACTGTAACCTCAAACTCCTGGGCCCAAGTGATCCTCCCGCCACAGATTCTCAAGTAGCTGGGACTACAGGCTCATGGCACCACACCTGGCTAATATTTTTATTTTTATTCTTAGAGATGGGGTTTTGCTATGTTGCCCAGGCTGGTCTCATACTCCTGGTCTTAACTGATCCTCCCACCTCAGCCTCCCAAATTGTTGGGATTACAGGTGTGAGCTGCCATGCCTGGTGAAAATCTTATTTTTGATAGACTCAGAAGCTCTCAGTGAACATAGCCTCTACGTCTTGGAAATCTGTTCCTGGCATTTTTCTTTGGTCTCCTTCATTCTCTTGGCCAAAAGTTCAGCATATTGTTTAACCTCTTCCTTATATTTATTTATTTATTTGGAGACAGAGTCTTGCTCTGTCACCGAGGCTGGAGTGCAGTGGCACAATCTCAGCTCACCGCAACCTCCACCTCCCAGGTTCAAGCGATTGTCCTGCCTCAGCCTCCCGAGTAGCTGGGATTACACGTGCCTGCCACTGCGCCTGGCTAATTTTTGTATTTTTAGTAGAGACAGGTTTCACTGTATTGGCCAGGCTGGTCTCGAACTCCTGACCTCATGATCCACCTGCCTCAGCCTCCCAAAGTGCTGGGATTACAGGTGTGAGCCACCGCGCCCAGCCTTACTTATTTTTATTTTTATTTTAGTGTCCTGTTTCTTCAGAGCAATATGTCAGCATTTGTGTTGCAGGACACGTGGAGTAAGAAGATGCCGAGTCTTGGGTGCTTTGGTTCTAGGTTCCTGATATCCTTTGTTTAGGGGCTTACTCACTAGTGGACATCATCTTTACACGGAATGAAAAGTTATTAGACTGTGCCATCTCTTCTGGACCTCAGGTGAAAAGGCACAGTAGTATCAGTCAGTCTAGTCTTTCTCTCTCCCCTATCTTTTTTTACAAAAACCAAATTAAGAAGTCAGATTGGCACTCACAATGCAACCCTGAACAATCTGTGCTTTCCTTCTGCAGTTCCCCTTGGTCTGTAACAGAATGCCCCATATGCAGTAGCAGGTGGACACAACCACAGGTCAGGACACACTCCCTCACAGGGAAACCTCGCGGGTCATTTGTACCATTGATCTGACCCTCATAAGCCTTCCATTCTTCACCCAGAGTGGCACCGGTGACTTCTGAGGCCATATGCTTCTCATAAAAGGTCTGGTTTGCATCCACTGTCCACTTCAATGAGTCTCTGGCAGCCACTGGCTGAGAAGGAGACCTTCTGCTTCATCTTGAAGCAGCTGATCACCTCTGAGGTGCCACAAAACAGAGGCATGAGATTCTCTTATCATTCTAAAAATCACTTCCACACCTGTAATTACGTTGCTTTTTGCACTCCTGATGTTGTTGTGTTTTTTTTTTTTTAAATTGGATTTGATGGTTTGTCTGTTTATTGGTCTTTTCAAAGGATCAGCTTTAGGGTTTATTGATAAAATCCATAATTTATTAATTTATGCTTTTACTTTAAAAAATGCATTCCTTCATATTCTGGGATTATTTTACTATTCTTTCCCCCATCTTTTGGCTTATTTAATATACATCTTTTTAAATAAATATAAATAAATTTTAGGCTCTGAATTTTTTTCTTTGGTGTTGATTGATGCATCTCATACATTTCAGATATGGTGCTCTGGCTCTCGTTTCTAAGTACAGTCCTGTGTCACTTAACAATGGGGACATGCACGGTTAGGCAATTCTGTTGTTGTGCAAACAGCATACAGTGGATTCACACAAACCTAGATGCCATAGCTATTACACACCTCAGCTCTACGGCACAGCCCACTGCTCCTAGGCTTCAAGCCTATACAGCATGTGACTGTACCGAATATTGCAGGCAACCGGAACACAATGGTAAGTATTTGTGTATCTAAACATACCTAAACACTGAGAAGGAGTAGTAAAATAGGCACAGTAAAAAAGATTCAAAGATGGTGCACCTGTAGAGGGCACATACCATGAATGGAGCTTGCAGGACTGAAAGTTGTTGTGGGTGGGGCAGTGAGTGAGTGGTGAGTGAATGTGAAGGCCTAGGACATGACCGCACACTGCCGTACACCACTGGAGACTAGAAACACTATACACTTAGGCTACACACATTTATAAAAAGTACTTTTCTTTCTTCAGTAATAAATTAACTTCAGGTTAATGTAACATTTTTACTTTATAAACTTTTTAATTTTTTTAACTTTTGGACTCTTCTGTAATAACGCAACCTAAAACACACATTGTAGAGCTGTACAAAATATTTTTCTTTATATCCTTATTTTGTTTTTTTTCTATTAACCTTTTTTTTTGTTTGTTTTTTATTTTTTGTTAAATCTAAGACACAAACCCACACATTAGCCTAGGCCTACACAGGGTCAGGATCCTCAGTATCACTGTCTTCCACTCCCACATCTTGTCCCATTGGAAGGTCTTCCGGGACTGTAACACGCTATCATCTCCTATGATAACAATGCTTTCTTCTGGAATACCTCCTGCAGGACCTGCCTAAGGCTGTTTTACTGTTAACTTAAAAAAAATAAGTAGAAGCAGTACACTGCAAAATAATGATAAAAGTATAGTGCAGTAAATATATAAACCGGTGACACAGTCCTTTATTCTCATTATCAAATATTATGTACTGTACATAATTGTATAAGCTATACTTTTTTTTTTTTTTTTGAGACAGAGTCTCGCTCTGTCGCCCAGGCTGGAGTGCAGTGGCGCGATCTCAGCTCACTGCAAGCTCCGCCTCCCGGGTTCATGCCATTTTCCTGCCTCAGCCTCCCGAGTAGCTGGGACTACAGGCGCCCGCCACCTCGCCCGGCTAGTTTTTTGTATTTTTTTTTTAGTAGAGACGGGGTTTCACCATGTTAGCCAGGATAGTCTCGAGCTCCTGACCTCGTGATCTGCCCGTCTCGGCCTCCCAAAGTGCTGGGATTACAGGCTTGAGCCACCGCGCCTGGCCTAATTTTATATTTTTAATAGAGATGGGTTTTCACCCTGTTGGCCAAGCTGGTCTCGAACTCCTGACTTCAGGTAGTTTGCCTGCCTTGGCCTCCCCAAGTGCTGGGATTACAGGCGTGAGCCACCATGCCCGGCCAAGCTATACTTTCATACGACTGGCAGCACCACGAACACCTGAGTGAGGCACTGCGCTGGGTGATGATGTATGGCGTCACTGGGTGATAGGAATTTTTCAGCTCCATTGTAGTTTTAGGCAGACTGTCATTGGCTGAAATGTCATCATGTGGCACATGACTGCAGATGGTAGTTTCAGCTTTGAGTCACTAAGAAGAGTGCCAAAATTTTAAGTAGATTTTGGAGAGGTTATTGTTTTTATGGCTAATTTCTAATTTTGCTATATCAAAGTAAGAGCAGTTTTAGAATTTGTTAAATTCTTTGTGACTTAAATGTTGGCTAATTGTTGTGAATGTTTCTGGGGTGTTTAAAAAGAATGTGGTTTTTTGGCCATTTATTGAGTATAAATCTGTAAGATCAAGTCTGTTACTTGTATTACTTAGATATTCTTTACCCTTTTTTCTATTTTGGTCTATTTGGTCTGTCATGCTCTACTACCTGTATTAAATCTTCCACTGTGTGTATGTGTGTGTGTGTGTGTGTGTGTGTGTGTGTGTGTGTTCTCCTTATACTTCTATCAATATGTAATTGATACATTTCCAAACTATATTGTTAGGCTCATGTAGTTTTATGACTGTTACATGTTTTTGATGGATTATACCCTTTATCAGTATAAAATCCCTGTCTTGTTTAATGCCTTTCACCTGGAATTCTATTTCTTCTGCTACTGCTATTATTACATCTACATTGTGAGCCTTACATGGTATTCATTTTTCCATCCTTTTATTTTCATTTTCTTTAGGTCATTTTGTTTTACTATACCTGTTATAAACAGGCTAGAGCTAGATTTTTTAAAGCCAGCATCAGAGTATCTATCTTTTAATAGTGAACTTTAGCTCAATAAGTTTAGTAATTATCTTTGTTCTTATTCCTGCCATCTCCTTTTATTATTCTAATTTCCATGTTTTATTTATTTATTTTTCTACTTTTGCTTTACCTTCCTTTTGCTGAATTGCTAAGTTTTCTTTATCTACTTTTTCCTCTAGTGGTTTGGAATGTATACATTCCATTTCTATTTTTTTAGTGATTGACCTTTAAGTATTTAACATATATATTTATACACACTTTTCCCTTAGTTATGTACAGAATTAAACAGTATCTATTCTTATCCCCAAACAAGAGAAGAATCTTAGCGTGGTTTCATGTTTCTAATTCTTCTACCACCTCACTTCCTACCTTGTTGAGGTAACATGAAATATTACTTCCAAATTGTCATTAAGGTTTTGTACATTTTCCCCTTAACAATTATGTAGATTTTATATAAACTTTATAATGTCCTTGTTCAAAACTCACAACTATAAACTTCATTAGTTTTTACTCATATCATTACTCTGCTCATTCTATTTCTTTGATTTGTTTTTCATTCTGTGGAAGTACAGCCTGAGTAATTGCTTCAAGGAAGACTTATGTGGGGCAGTAAACTTTATGGGTTCTTAAACACTTGGAAATGTATTTTGCTTGGCTACTTGAATGCTGATTAGACTGCAGATACAGGGCCAGGTTCAAGAATACATTTTCCTCATAATTTTGAACATATTATTCCATTGTCTTCTATTACATATATACTTTTGTTAATGAAAAGTCTAATGCTAATGATGATTTTCAAAGTAATTCCCTTTTTTCCTTTTTGGCAACACTATTAAAGAAGCTGTTCTTTCTCCATTCTGTGTTCTTGGCACCTTTGTCAAAAATCAATTGGCTGTAAATGAGTGGGTTCATTTCTCAGGTTTCTATCCTGAGCCATTGCTCTATGTGTCTGTTTTCATGCCAGTACCATGCTGTTTTGGTTACTATAGCTTTGTAACAGATTTTGGTATCAGGCAGTGTGGTGCCTCCAGCTTTGTTCTTCTTGCTCAAGATTGCTTTGGCTATTCAGGGTCTTTTGTGGTTCCGTATGAATTTTAGGATTGTTTTTTTCCATTTTCATAAAAAATGACATTGGCATTTTGATAGGAATTGCATTGAATTTGTAGATTGTTTTGTGTAGTATTGTCATTTTAACAATAGTAATTATTCTAATTCATGAACACAAGATATCTTTCCATGTATTTGTGTCACAACTATTTCTTTTATCAATGTTTTATAAGTTCTCAGTTTACAGATCATTAAATTTTTTCCTAAGTATTTTCCTAAGTATTTCCTAAGTATTTCCTAAGTATTTTGTTGCTATTGTAAAAGGGGCTGATTTCTTAATCTCTCTTTCAGATAGTTCATTGTTAGTGTAAATAAATGCTACTCATTCTTGTGTGTTGATTTTGTGTCCTGCAACTTTACTGAATTAGTTTATCAGTTGTAATAGATTTTGGTGATCTTTAGGATTTTCTATACGTAAGATCACATCATCAGCAAACAGAAAATTTCACTTGTTCCTATTTGGATAACTTTTTAAAATTTGTCTAATTGCTCTGGCTAGGACTTCCAGTATTATCATGTTGAATAGAAGTGGTGAGAGTGGGCATCTTTGTCTTGTTCCTCATCTTAAAGGAAAAGCTTTCAACTTTTCACCACTAAGTGTGATGTTAGCTGTGGCCTTGTCATATGTGGCCTTTATTGTGTTGCAGTATGTTCCTTCTATGCCTAATTTGTTGAGAGTTTTTGTCGTGAAAGGATGTTGAATTTTGTCAAGTGCTTTTCTGCATCTATTGAGATAATCATGTGGGTCTTTTTTCCCTCATTCTGTTAATATTGTGTATTACACTTATTGATGTGCATATGTTGAACCATCCTTGCATCCCTGGAATGAAACCCACTTGATCATGATGTATCATCTTTTTCATGTACTGCTGGATTCAGTTTGCTAGTATTGTGTTGAGGATTAAATAAGGATGACGCCAGTGCATGTGGACATAAGCATCCAGCACAGCAAATGGCACAGACAGGTGCTGGTATAGTGATAGATATCCATACTTATTGGACGAGAAAACTGAGGTTCAGAGAAGTTAGATGTCTCGCTCAAGGTCGCAAAGCATGTTGGCAGGTTGGCTTTGGGCCTGTTCAGACTCTAAGCCAGGCTGCTTTCAGCATGTGACTTTTGCTCCCCTAATGGTTTTGGCTGGTTTCCAGCAGGTGTGCCAGTGCATAGTGTGTTTCTCTGTGGAAAGTTATCATAAATGACAATGGACCCACTGGCCTCCTTGTCAGGCAGACACCAAGCACGCATCCTCTCCCTTCCTACTCCCTGGGAAACAGTTCCCTTTCATTCTACCACCAGGCCACAGTGTGGCACCACGCAGGTGTGTGTGTATCTGTGCACCTGTGTCCTCAGGGACCCACCTGAAGAGGAGCAGCACGGCCTGGGGGAAGGTCTGAAAGTTGTTGTTCCGGTTGATCTCTGTGGTATCATTCAGGGCAATTTTCCCAAACACCTAGGAGAGGGAAGGAAGAGGTGTTTAGTGATTTGTGGACAGAGAGGATCCTAATTTCCCACCATTGTTCAATGGTCTCTTCAGGGGTCTCAGGTGTCCCTGGAACTGGCCGCCACAAGCTGAATAGTCTTCCCATGCAACCTGGCAGGCACCTGCTGCCCCACCCGGCCCCTGCGCACGATCCCCACACTGGACAAGCATGGGAATCAAAGAGCCCACAGCCTCAGGCAGGTCCCTACAGCCCGGTGGGAGCTGGGGCTGAGAGTGCTGGATGCTGGGACAGGGACCCTGCTTCTGACAGAACACAGGATGCACTGTGTTATTTTCTTTGCTATTTCAGCGCTGCACGCCCAAGCACTCTTTCAAATTTAGTTCTTGCATTTCGGAGTGATGTGGAGTGAGTGATCTGGGGCTAGGGCAGGCTTCATTCATTCCTGAAATCCCTTTTTTTTCCTGGTCTTTTAAAGCTGTGCTTATCTTAGAAACTGCCACCATTATCAGGTATCAAGGTAGCTCTTTTAGTCTCAAAAGGTTTTGGCAACTGAATCTTGGGTCTTTCTGCGATGAGTAAGTAGGGGACTTCCTGGAGGAGCGGCCAAGGAAACGCTCTGGGCCACTGTGGGCGTCCTGCCAGGTTTGACCTTGGGACCTCAAGCTGGAGCCCGGAGACGGGAATGGAGAGCTCCAGGTTTGTGGTGAAAGGTGCAGTGGGCACCTGGGAGGGGAGGCCCCAGAAAACTGCTGCACGTTTGATGTGGTGAGCCTTGTGTCGATTTTGCCCTTCCTTGCTTCCTTCTTCTTTCCTCCCTCCCTCTCAGTCATTAGCTTCTAATGAATCTGGTTGGGGTAATTCTCAGGCCCATCAGACCTGGACACAAACAGGGGTGCTGGGCAGACACACCTTGCTGCTGTTTCTTGAGAAGGGGCTGTGTCTCTCCCGAGGCCCCTTGCATAACTCAGGAGTGTCTTTCCTCTACCAAGAGCAGAACCCAGGCCTCGGGGAGGGAAGCTCTCTGGGCTGTGTATTCTGTACCTGGCCACTCTCCTGTTACCTACAGGAGATCCATTTGGGGAAAGTTCCCATTCCTGTGGCTTTTTGGGCCTCAGAAAATGGAAGAGGAGGGAGAGAGACAGTCAGGAATGAAAGGGAGAAGGGAGAGAGGAAGGCGTGAGGGAATGTGGTGCTGGGAACTGGGAAGAGACAGAGCAGGAGAGGAGGAGAGCAGGAGGCCAGGAGCCCCGTGATGGGAGCCTCCCTACCTGCATCCCGATCACCGCGTAGATGAAGAACAGCATCACGATCAGGAGGGCCACATAGGGCAGGGCCTGGAAGGAAGTGCAGGAGACTCCCATGAGGCCGGAGTGCAGAGACCAGCTGGGCCCCTTCCCAGGGAGCGCCGCATCCCTGTCTCTGCGGCCATCAGCTATTGCCCGGTTTGGGCTGGGGGACACTTCCAAGAGTCCCACAGGACTACGGGGAACCTGGGGGAAGGTCTGAGAAACCGGAACTGACTTCCCATTTCAGCTGGGTTTTCAAAGCAGGCCGCAGAGTAACCACATAGTGCGACACTCCCTGGGCAAAACAATCAAGAAAGAGCAAAGCCGCCTTCGACTACACACGTGCGGTATGTTTGTACAAGGCGGGAGAAATCGTGGACAGCACCCAGCTGACTGTGGTTACCTGTGGAGGAGTGGGGTAGTGGCAGGTTACACCCTTCCTTTACACAGCTTCATTCTATCCCACTAGTTGTAGTGAGCGGGTATTACTATTGCAATGAAAACATTTAATAAGGAAAAATTTAAAAGAAAGATCATGGGTTCAAATCCTGTTTTTGCCACTTTCTATCTATGAGAGCTGGGACACTTAACTTCTCTGAGCTTCAGTCTCCTCATCAGAAAAATGGAAATAATAATAATGACCTCTCAGAGGTTTTGTGGTTTAAATGATTTAAGGCTTATAAAGTGCTTAGTGCACGCCTTGCACAGAGTTGGGTTCCATACATTCTATTCGCTTAATGCATTATCTGCCTGGCAACTAGGACGACTACATTTCCAGAGCCCCCGACATTTCTAGGGAGAGGCCATGGTCCCCGGGACGGGAGGCCCGGCCCACGTTCCCAGGCGCCGCTTCAGCCACCGCCGGTCACTAGAGGGTGCAGCCAGAGCAGGCGCCCGCTGCCTGGCCCGAACGCCTGTGCCACCGTCAGGCCCTCGCAGTCACCCAGTCTGCGTCTCTTCCCAGACCCGGGAGATGTCGGGGGGGCAGGGCGAGTATGGCCACTCACAGCCGTGGGTTCCGCGTGCACCCAAGTGCAGAGTCAGTGGCAGTCCTGCTTCCACTGGGGCCTACTTTTTCGAATCCCCAGAGCCTGGGCCGACCCGGGCTGGGAGTGCAGGAGCCCCAGCTCACCATTAGGCGGAGGTCAGCCCTGGCGGCTCAGAGGAAGCCTGGCCATTGGGAGCTCCCTTGAGAGCCTTGGATGGTCAGTCCCTGGCTGGAGGCTGCCGGGGGCAGAGCGGGGATGGGCATCTTTCCTCTGGCTACAGCTATAGCCATGGGCACACCAGACCAGGCCCAGGCACGCCCCGTCCCCAGGCGGGGACTGGCCGGGGTGGAGCACACAAAGGAGCTTCCCTGACAGATTCTGGTCTGGGGAAGGCTGAGAGCGGCCCCTCCATGGTGGGAGAGAAGCCTGCGTTGCGCCAGCCCAGAGAAGCATGAACCGCCTTCAGGGGTTCAGCACTCATCTGGGGGAAGTCAAGTGGCCCAGCAGCTTTGCCTCCTAACTTCAACCCTACAAAGGCTCCTCCGAGCTGGCAGGGGCTGATTGTCATTCTGTTTTAACGGGAAAACAGTGGCTGAGAAAAGGAACGCATCACGTGGCCAGGCAGTCCTGGGCCCATTCGAAAGGCCTGTCTAGCCGAGCGGAGGACACCAGGGTCCTGCGACTCTGGCCGAGGACATAACAGGTGCTGTCAGCAGATGCTGCTGAAATGCCTGCGGGAAGGAGGGCGATGGGCCAGATTCTGAAAATCCTGAATTCGAAGGGCAATAGCGGTCACCAGGTTGTCCAGGCCCATGTTTTTCAGGTTTGTTCCTTACCACAAAACCCCTTGGTCCAGTAAATTCTTGTGGAGAAAGACATAAATGATGGTTAAAAGTAAGGCAGACCCTTTCCGCCTCCCCGTAGCTCCCATCCCTCCTTTACCACCTGGCCTTCTCGGGCTCTGAGCCTGCCTTGGAAACCACACGCTTCGTCTAAGCCTCTCAGTGCGGAAACAGGGAGCCAGGTAGAGCGGCCGAGTTCCGCCACACAGAGGAAGGAGCAGGGCCCCAGAGTGGAGGGCTCCTCCCTGTGCCAGCTGTGTTCTGGGCCAGGCGGCAGCCCTGGGATCCCCAGGCCGCAGGACATGAGGGGCGGCTACCTGGAAGGACTTGATGAAGGTCCACAGCAGCGTCCGGATGCCCTCCCCGCGGCTCAGCAGCTTCACCAGGCGCATGACCCGGAATAGGCGGAAGAAGGTGATGGAGATGCGCGAGTTTTCCTCTGCGTTCTGGAACCCGTCGGCAACAGGAGGTGCAGTTAGCACAGCAAGAGGGGGGTGAGAACAGAAGGGCCCCTCCGAGAAATACAGACCTCAGTGGCAGTGGCAGAAGGCAGGCCAGGGTTTGCTGCACTAGACTTACCCCTCAGCTGGGAGGGCAGCCGCCCACTGTAACGAGTGGACAGCTCAGTCCACTCTCTGCAGAGCTAGACCGTGCCCAGGCCGCTGGGCTGTGCTCCTGTTTTCACTCTCCCCACTTCCCCTTCATTCCTAGTTCTTAATGCCCTGGGTGGAGGAACAGACAACTCCATCAGGAACTACCACAAGCTTTGGAATCGTGTAGGCCCAGAGCCAGTTGCCCTGGGAGCCCCTGCCTCTGCAGTGCTGAGGAAGCAGCCCTAGCCTCTCGCCCGTTTGTCTGGGCAGAGAGTCCTGCATCCTAAGTGGAGCCCAGCACTCTTTGAGGACATGGGTTGGTGGATGGCCTCTCTCCCAGCTGTGGGTATGTGTGCATTTGAGGCCCTCTGAAGGGGCCTCATGCCCCAGCTGCTTGGGACTCCAGCACTTCCCTTGTATCACCTCCTTCTACTTTCCACAGCCCCTGTCCCAAAGGGAGGGATTAGAGGGCTACTCAGTGCTGGAGAGGGTCTGGTTTGCAGCCCTTGCTCTGAAGCTGTTGCCCTCCTACTCCCCTCTGCCCTGGGGCCTCTAGGAGGCTCCAACCCTCCAGGCTGTACAAAACCCTGGAAGGGAGAGGGGCAGCATAAGAGAGGGGAGGCCTCCCTTGCAAGTGATGCTCCTGCAGATGGTCTCCCTCAGGGGCCCTGGGGAAGGGGAAAGGGAAGGTGAAGGGGAGGAAGGGTGGAGTGCAGGTCAAGGTGAGTGGAGGTGGGAAAGGAAAGGGAAGGTAAGGGAAGGTGAAGGGGAGGAAGGGTGAAGTGCAGGTCAAGGCGAGTGGAGGTGGGAAAGGAAAGGGAAGGTAAGGGAAGGTGAAGGGGAGGAAGGGTGGAGTGCAGGTCAAGGTGAGTGGAGGTGCTTGGGCTGCTGCTGTTGGACCTGGGGGAACCTGGGGGCTTGGGCACATGCCTGGCCAGGGCTCAGGACAGGCTGCCCTGCCATCCTCTGCCTCCAAACCTGAGAACATGAGCTGACTCCCCACTTGTTCCTCCTTCTGCCCACACCGGCCTGGTGAGCAGGAACCTAGGAGGGAGCCACTGCCAAATCCGGAGCTAGTGCAGCTCACCCAGCCCTGCGGGCACCGGGAGAGAATGGACCCTCGGGGCTTCCTGTTACTGTTCCCGTCCACACCTCCCTGAGGTGGGAGGTCTCAGGTTGTTACTGGGGCCACCTGGGTCCTCCCCACTCCTTGCTTTACCTTGCCTTTTATCTTGAATTATTTCTAGGTCAGACTCTCCCTGGCAATATCCAGCGCTAAAGCCCTTCTAACTGCACTGCCTGCTCTGGCCGACCCTGGTGTGACATCAGAGGCCGTTTCCCTCACTATGCAGGACAGGAGATTATGAGGGAGGCAGGGAGACCCGGAGGCAGCCACCACTCTGCACACAAGCAAGCTAGAGACCCCTCCTGCTTTCCAGACCTTCCAGACAGGAGAAGAGCAAAAATATTCCTTATGTTTCAAAATCAGAGCTGCCTCAGTTCCTCCTAAGGCTCCCATTGCCCTCAAGGCAGGGGACAGACTGGTGGGTCTCGGGACCTGCTGCAAGGGTACCTGAGGGGCTGGGTCGAGAGCTGCAGGCAGCAGCCCTGTCCTGCCCTGGGCTCTGCCCTGCCTGTGTGTTCTGAAGCCTTTGATGCCCTTAATCTCTGTATTTCTATCACCTGTGTATCTACTTGAAATTCTATTTTCACTCCTTAAAAGGAGGTTGTGTTCCCCCAGAGGAGTATGCAGAGGAGGCTTAGGATTTTATAACTCAGCTGTCAGTTCCACCATGTTCGAGAAAGGAGAAAAAAAAAGAAAGCACAAGCTTAAGTGGAGAACTTCAGCTCCAAGTGTCAGGAGTTTGAGAAACTGGTGCCACAGGGGCATCTGGATCTGCTCAGTTAAAAAAACAAAACCAACAAACAAAAAAAGAAAACACCAAACACCAAGCTTGCAGTGTGAATTCCATTCCACTGTTCAGAACCCTCCCCTGTGGCTGCAGTTTCCTAACGCTGCTGGAGACGGGGAACAAACACGTTGCCATTTGGACACACCAATTTGCTCTAATAAACCAAACGACAATGCAAAAAAGAGGCAGATCCAGATGGCTGATCCAGGAAGCAGCGTCCCCAGGAAGCGGGGTAGAGCACCCCGGGCTCAGCCTTTCCTGTGGCAGCCTTGCCTGGCCCTGCCTGGCTGCACTGGCGAACACATCAACCCACCCAAGCTTGCCTCGGTCTGTGGACTTTGCGGCTTGGTCAGTCAACCCCACTGGTCCTTCTAAAAACTCATACTTGGCCCGGTTTGAAATGCGTAACGGCAGCCTTTTGGAGGAGCCTGGGCCAAGGAGGCTTCAAGGTCACACTGAATGGCGTCTCTTTTATCATGTTAGCCAAAGCGAATCAGAGACTCCTACCACAGGAGTGATCCAATCAACGGAGCTCGTTTTTCTGCTTCCAGCTTGCTGCAGAACAGTGGCTGTAGCCTAATTTTAATGGACTTCAGGAATTTAGAAAAATGCAAGGGGTAGCAAGGTTGGAGTGCCTGGAAATTCAATCATGCTCTCAGTAACAATTCCCAGCTTAAACCTTCTATGGTGGACTTCCACCTGAAAGCACAGGGAAGCTAGAAGCTGCAGACACTGATGAATAGGAATCATCGTCCGCCCTTCCATCCCCTTGCTAGAGCACCTCTTTCTTCCCTCCTTACCCTGGAGCCCTCCCACGGCTCTCATAGGTACCCTCTGCAAATTTCTCACATCAGATTAAGGTCAGAGGCTTTGGCCCGTGGAGTCCTCAGGGCGTTTAACAGGAAATGGCCCTCAGGTCCCATTCTCTCCCAGTGGCTTGTTAGATAGTCAAGATCACAGTGAATTACCACCCCAAGGAAAGCTCAGGGGTAAAACACCACCACTGCACAAACAGCATCTTCACAGCTCACACGAGAAGGGAACAGGCAGGCAAGGCACACGGCAGACACGGTGGCCACATGCAGTGAGAGCCAGGCAGGGCTCCCAGGGACTCTGGAGATCAGGGTGGGGAGAGTAGGGGTGTTAGAGGGGGACACGGAAGCCGGGAGCATGGTCGGGAGGGTTGGTCTTACCATAGAGGGAGAGCATTGGGTATGTTCAGCTGGCTTTAAAGAAAGGCAGATAGAGATAAGCTGTAATGAGCCTCTTAGGAAGATGCCCGGTACTCTAGGTCTTGGCTAACACAGGAGCAACACAGTGGCAGAAGAGGGCAAAAGGAAACAAGTGAAAGAAACGTGAAAGCGTAGGCCTGGCAGGTCCTGGGGCATCCCCGAGACTGTGGGGTCTGTGTTGCTGGGTCTCATGTCAAACAAGGACCCACAGGCATTCTCCTGCCTAAGACCTTTAAAACTCACACCCGTAATATTATTACATAAGCAGATGAGGTCTTTGGGATTTTGTGGATGGAGGTTTGTAATTGTTTTGTTTGGTTTTGTTTTGTTTCAGAGACAGGGTCTCAGCTCTGTTGCCCAGGCTGGAGTGCAGTGGCATAATCACAGCTCACTGCAGCCTTGAACTCCTGGGCTCAAATGATCCTCCCACATCAGCCTCCCTGGTAGTTAGGACTATGGCACGTGCCACCATGCCCGGCTAATTTAAATTTTTTTTTTTTTTTGTAGAGATAGGGTCTCACTATACTGCCCAGGCTGGTCTCAAACTCGTGGCCTGGCCTCAAGTGATCCTCCTGCCTTGGCCTCCCAAACTGCTGGGATTACCAGTGTAAGCCACTGTGCCAAGCCTGTTTTAATTTGATTAGCCATTGTTAACCTTTGGGCTTTATGCACTTTCGCTTACCCCAGGCATGGCCAGCTGAAGGACAGAGGCCTCGCTAACCCCAGGGCCTATCCTTGCCCACATATATTTAAGCAAAGCAGCCCAAGGGCAGTGGCGTCTCAGGTTTAGGGGAGAATGACTTCAAGTCAACACTGAGGAGGGCCTCCAGAGGTGGCCTCAACTCACTCCATAATGGGGCTTGTTCTCAAAGCTCAGGCTCAGGCAGGAGATGGCCTTGCTTAGCAGTTAGTCTATAGATGCGGCAAGCCCTGGCCATTGGCATGAAATAATGAGTGTTGAATTGTTTTCTAAACTTGAAAGCCCTGCACACAATTTAGGATACGAACACCCCAGGAAGCTGTTCTCACGGGTCTGACTGCTGAACTCATTTGGGGGTAGAAGCTAAAGAAACTGGCGTCTGGTGAGTATCCCAGGGCCAGCCCTCTCCCCAGGTTCCTGGGGCCTGGCTCTGGGAAGACGCCCTTCCTTTTTGGGCTCCAGCCCAGAGGGCTCAGCCCCAACCGATCTTGACCATCTGAGCTGCTAACTCTTTCTAGAAAATCAGGACTTGGCTTTTACCCTCCACTTTCAGATGGTTGCTCTTGTATTTCTGTTTTTAAGGTACAAACAAGGAAAACGTGTAATGGAATTTTTGAAGGATGGAAATGTGCACAACTAGACATTTGCTTGCAGCCTGGAAATATTTCTTGGGTAACAGATTTCTCAGCAAAAAAAAATTTTTTTTTCATAGCTAGTTGGTAGGATGTCCTTTTAGGGGATGGTGAAGATATAGGGTGAGGTGAGGGAAGAGAAAGAAAGGGACGCTTCTCTAGGCTTTTACAGAACACTCTAGATCTGACTCTCTAGATCTCAGCTTCTGCTTCATGAAGATTCCACCTGCCAGGTCAATCCTTGTGACTGCAGGGTGTGGGGTCCCTAGGATTTGGCTAGCAGGCTGAGCTTGAACACAGAGACAAACATAGGTAGACAGACACATGCGCGCGCGCACACACACACACACACACACACTCTCTCTCTCTCTTTCTCTCTTTCTCTCATACAGGCATGCACAGAAGAAATTTCTTGGCAAAGCACCTAAACCCCTTTTCCTCTGGTGTGTGATAGTTGCCCAGGATGGTCGGGTCTGGCTACCCTCTGGCATCGTTCTGCCCCGCTCCTGGCCCAGTGCTTGGGCTTCTTATTTTTTATTTTTTTTATTTTTTATTTTATTTTTTTGAGACGGAGTCTCGCTCTGTCACCCAGGCCGGAGTGCTGTGGCCGGATCTCAGCTCACTGCAAGCTCCGCCTCCTGGGTTCCCGCCATTCTCCTGCCTCAGCCTCCCGAGTAGCTGGGACTACAGGCGCCCGCCACCTCGCCCGGCTAGTTTTTTTTTTTGTATTTTTTAGTAGAGACGGGGTTTCACCGTGTTAGCCAGGATGGTCTCGATCTCGTGACCTCGTGATCCACCCGTCTCGGCCTCCCAAAGTGCTGGGATTACAGGCTTGAGCCACCGCGCCCGGCATGCTTGGGCTCTTTTGCTCATAGACAAGGAGTTCTATGTTTCTCAGGCTTCAGTGGGGCAGGGAGGGAGGCCCAGAGGGAGGTAACCTACACCATGTTAACTCCAGAGTATTGGGCAGAGTTCCCAGGAAGCTTGAGCCATTGCTGGCCTCTTGGATCCATCCTGCAAATCATCACAGCTGCTCATCACTTCTAAGAACCCTGGGCAAATGCTTGAAGGTCTTCTGGGTCAATCCCAGCCTGAACAGGACCAAAATGGAGATAATTCTGACAACACACCCAGGTATTTGGCTTACCTGGCCTAATTGAACCAACCTCTAGGCATCCAAAAAAAAAAAAACCACAAAACCGGTTTCATTTTACTTCTTAAACATTCAGAATCCTTCATTTGGGATTTTTAGATTTTTAAACATTTAACTGTCTTTTCTCTTGTTGCATTTTATAGCTCCCATTTAAGACCTCGTCTATTTAAGTCATATTTCACTTCAAGACTTGACTTTAGGTCTGTTCTGATAATCTTGATAGTATTTTGTATTTTAATAACATGTATTGATTTAACATTTCCTATGGCATGTCTCTATAATAGCAGACAAGAAAAAGTCAGGAGCAGCTATGAGGACAGTAGAAAGAGGAGGAATGAAGACTCTCTGAGATCTATGTGTGGCATTCTCCCGCCCTGGTAATGACAACTCTCCTAAGAGACCAACTTTGGAAGAATCTAGAGACTCAAAGATTCACTTTTTCTTGAGCCTTAAGCCATACCGTTCACAGGGCATTTTTGACTAGCTGAGACAGTGTTGCCTCTTAACACCACACAAACTTGTTTTCACATGAGGAGCTACGTTTACAAGGTCTGTGGTCTCAAAAACCAATAACCATTCACGATGAAATCAGAGAGCAACACCTGAGTGATTTCTACCTGGTAACAATAGGAAGCAGCCTAAGACACAGCCCCTACCCCCCAAGGCCCCCAAGGTCTACTGATGCCCTAGACATTTCCTACATGAACCCAAGTCATCGTTGGTCTTTGGTACCCTTTCCCCTTGGCAAGTGAATCCCCTTCTGAGATGGAAGGAGAGATTGGACTTGCTGGAGTTGGACATCTGTGGTATCCCAGGATCAGCACTTTTAGCTCAGAGACGTGTTTCTGTGGTTTACCACTCTCTTTAAATATCAAGTATGGCGCCTTGAGAAACTGCAAAGCATCAGTTCTACCTTTGCATGTAAATTCAGACTTTGTTGGTAGCCATCAATACTTGGGCCATTAATCTCTGACCCCTTCCCAGATTTGCTGCTGGGGCCTTTGAGTTAGTTTGTAGTTTCTCCATCTGTGGTCTTTCTGGGGCAAGAAAGGGGCTGTAGGATTCCCTGAAGACATACGGCCCCGAGCCTGGAGACTGCATTCCCCTTTTACAGCAGCCATCAGAGCTGCTTACATAACCTGAACATTCTGGCTGATTTTTAATACGGCACTGTCTCCACTAATGGTAGGCGTGGAGAAATTTCTGAGCAGCCAACTCTTTCATCCTTGTTTTCTAATGATCTGGTAATTTTCAACGATTGCACGATATCGGGGCAATTAACTTAATTTTTTTATGTAATTGATATAAATGAAATGAGGTTATTACTCCGTATCTGAGGCAGAGGTCGGGCGTTTTCAGAGAGAGCGAGCTCTGGTTAGTGGTTCCAGGTAACAGGCTCAGGGCAAATAGAAAGGAGAGCCGATTTCCTTCCTTCAGTATGCTTATGCAGATTGCCTTGGTTTGGCAGAAGTGGCATTGAGGAGAGGAGCGGTGCAGGGCAGCTAATGAGAGGAGGTCTCTGGAAAGCCGTCTTTCTGAATTAAGCTCAGGGTCAAATGAGAAGTAACACCTCAGTGGATGAAGTCTTTGTTTCTGGAAGGCAGTCACTGTGCACTTATTTTCATCGGAGTGCCAGGTCTAGGCCACATTTAGGATGCTGAGGGGTGATAGTCAGGGAATGCCAGAGGCCAGCAGAGACAGGATCCTCCCAGGTGGAGGATTTTCCCACCAGGATGGTGTGGGTGGCCGCGGGATGAGTTTCCTGGTTGCCACATTACATGGTCTCTCTGGAGACTTAAAAGGTAGTTGAAAAATAGCTCTTCACCATACGAAAAACAGTTTTTAAATAATTATTATTTTTTGAAAGCACAGCCAAGCGTAAGGATTATAGAAATTCAGGGGCCGAGCAGTAGATCTCTAGGCTGGAATACGCAGCCCAGCTGTCCTCCACCATACTCTCCTGCGGCCAGAGAGCATTGTGAAGGGAGCATAAGCCATGGCTGCATTCTCCTTGGCAGGCTGATTTTGAAAGGTGCAGATGACCTCTGATCTCCTCCAGGGAAGGCTGGCTCTTGGCCCTACAGAAAAGGACTGCCCAATTCCAATGGCTGCCATTGAAATAACGCTATGACCTCAGTGTCACTGAGATTCCACGCACCTCTGAAACAGATGTCAAAAGTAATGTCATGGGATTGTGAGTCTCTAAATCGTGGTCCTGCTACGGAACCCTTGCTGTATTTTTTTAAATGTCTTGTCCAGAACTTAGGGAGGTGGATCTGATGTAAATTTCATTCCAAGCCACGTGAAGGTCTCGATCCAGCTGGTACCCCCTCCCCATGCTCCACTTCTCTGCTTGTACTACCTCTAATCTCAATCTGATCTGCAAGACACAACAGCTGGTTCTGTTGGGGGGTGTCATGGTGTGGAGGAAGACCAAGGGGTGGGCTTTTGAGACAGAGACCTTGGAGTTAATCTAGGTTGGGAGGAGGTGGGTCAGGCTGGTGCACAG